GTGATATCATGAAACTCGCTTATCTTCATGGCAAAATGCTCAATCTGCACAAGATCTCGGACACACCCCATTGGGGAGCAGATTAGCACTCTGAAGCTCTTAGTCTTAATGTTATCTGTAAGATCTTTGAAAGCAGAGTAATAAGTATCCAGTGTGGGTTTGCCGTTGAAGTGTTCTTTGGTTATAAGGCTATATACCGTTGCTTGTTTAGGATTGGTCCTTTGGCCTTTGGCCTTAATAATGAACTAACTATGGAATATTGAAATTTTGATTGAGGTAATGTTATGAAGGAATACATTACTTTGATTGACAGCAGAGAACAACTAAACAATTTAGTGCCATATGATTTTTTTACATTGTTCAACAAGTTTGATGTCTTAAAATCCAAAACTACATCCTAAAGCCCCTGGATTCTCCCCGACAACACCTAACTAAGGTTAAACTATTTCATAATTACGATTTGGTCCAAACTTAATAATTTAACTCCTTTTCTTTAAATACTTATCAAGAATACTGTAGGGGGCTAAGGGGGTGCAGTAGTTCCTCGGACAGCCATGGCTGCTTAGATAGAACTGAGCAACTACTTTACTCCCAGGGGCATCAGAAATGGTGCTCAAGACCGCCCGGGAAGGCCAATACAAAATGAAGTGCAGGCCTGTGTAGTCCGATGACTGCATCGCACATGTCGTGGCCCCTGTCGTGCTAATCTTGGTGGATCTAGGCTGGAGTCCCAAATGACTCCCTGGAGGGGGCAGCAGCACCTCCAGTACTGGGTGATCGTAACTGGTCTGGGACAAAGCTTGCTTCTCTGAGAACAAGACGCTCACCCAGACGTTCAGTTACAGCAGGAGCTATGTCTGAGCACTGCGGGCCCTGGGCTAAGCTGTGATGCGACCTGTGCTGAGAGTATCGCGGCACTGGGGGCCTAATACTCAGTGTCTGTAATGGAGCCTTCTAGGAACCAGGGGGAACCCAGTTGTATGAACCCCTTACCTTTCTAATCAGGTCACTGGGGAGGTGAACCTTTAGATACCCTGTACTCATGGGAACAAAATGGAAGTCCAGGAAATTAACTTAATTAACAAAAAAAAAAACAACCAAACATTGTTACCAATATGACCAATTAACATGTATCAATATATATATTGTATTATGGATATTGTAGCAAGGAGAGTGTGAACGACAGGTCGAAAACACTCCTATTGCTAGTCTGAACGTAGACGATCTGACCCCGATGGAGGAGGAAGGTCTACTAAAATCTGACAATGAAGTTCACGGAGACCAGAAGGGGGGAAAAACTACTTTCCAGGGGAGACTTGCGAAGACGGCGGATAGCGGATGCTTTAGCCAAATGCGAAAAGGTGCTATCCAGAAGTGAGAGGAGGCTGGCGTGGGCTGCCAAGCACCCGAACCCTGCTCCTTGCAAAGCCAGTTCCCCTGGGAACCAGGATGCAGGGAAAAAGCAGGGAAAGGGCAGAACCCCCAAAGCCGACTCCATTGAAGCCTAAACCTAAACTAAGTTCTAAACCTGTGTTCTAACCTCTCTACATTATTGTGAAAGGAGAGGCATGATGGCAGCCTACCGAATGGATTGCAGTGGATACTGGAAGTATAATGCCTCCAGTGAGCATACAAGAATTGTGGACAAGGTGCAGATGAACACCTTGGAAATGTATCCAGACAGGATGGTGAAGATCAAAGATCTAGAAAACCATACAATGTCAACATTGTTGACAGGGCTGCCTGGGACAAGTATGAACCTGAAAACATGAAAAGGGGGATGACTTGGTGTATGGATGGCTCAAAAAAGCCAACAGGCACTGGGGCGGGAATATATGGAGTCAGACCCAAGGCGCAGTTTTGGCGAAACTGCATCTGTATTCCAGGCAGAAGTTGTTGCCCTGTCCGAGTTTGCAAGAGTGTGTTTGAAGCGTGGTCTGACAGGCTACGTCATATACATGAACTCGGACAGCAAAGGAGCACTAATGGCACTTGACAGTTTTGACTTTACCTCAAAGGCAGTATGGGACTGTCATCAGGCCGTGAAAGCTCTGGGAGAGAACAACAAGGTTATCCTTAGTTGGGTTCCAAGACACAAAGGTATTGCTGGCAATGAGGGAGCTGACAAATGGGCAAACAACGGAGCTGAAAGGCCACTCATGGATCTCGAGCCGACGTGTGGTATTGCTTACAACACAGCACGGAGAGCTGTTTGCCAGTGGATGGGCATTGAAGATCGAAGGAGCTGGGAAAGACCAGAAGGCAACATACAGTCAAAGAGAATGCTGCAGACACCTACTGATGCGATAGCGGCAGATGCCCTTGGACTGAAAGGTAGACCCCCAAGCGCGGAAGGTGGGGTGTGGGCGCTGCGGAAGGTGGTTGGCTTCATCAGCGGCCATCGGGTATTCCGCAGTAATCCACACAAAATGGGAATTAAAGTTGAAAGCTTCTTATGTAGAAAATGTGGAGAGGAGGAGGAGACAGCCTTCCACGTGATAATTATGTGCCCAGCCCTACAGGTCTGCGCATGAGATCCCTTGGCCTATCGACTGGAGATCAAAGCAAAGAACATGCCCCATACTCAAAAGGATCTCATGGTTCACAAAGGACCTGGGATTTGATGGAGAATGAGTGTCTGTGAATGAGGATGCACAAAAACCTGTTCCAGCTGCGATGCAATCCCATGGTTACTTGTAAGCCTGGCCCTCTGTTAAAAAAAAGAATACTGTAATTCCTAGAAGTCTGAAAGGAATGCCAACACTAGGGTAGGAAGTGGTGGAAGTGGTGGTAGGGTAGGAGTAGTTTTACCGTTTTAGTCGTATTAACTTCTGCAGTGCTCTTCAATCTGACATTGGTTGTAGCCAGACTGAAAGGGATTTTGGCCAGTACATTTTGCTTGCACGCTGGGTATATATGAAACGGTGACACACACAGCACCGTTATACGAGTAGCAAAAATGCCGTGACAGGTACCAAGGATTCCGGAAGGCTGCCGAATAAGCGCTCCAGATAGACAATCTGCAGATCAGTTCAGTCTTTCGGTTGTATCGGTTTCCACTATTAGTACAAAACATATCGTGATGGCACCAGAAGGAGGAGAGGTGTTGGGAACACACAATGTACTATGTAGCCGGTTGTCTTCGGCTAAAATTGTACGGCAAATGTTTTATGTAGATATTTGCTGGACAGCTTTCAACCTCTAAAATAAACTTATCGGCGCCAAACACAATCACACACTTGATGCTGACCACAACAAAAAAACTGAAACCGGCGAATTCGCTCACCTCAGTTAACAAGAGGTAGCAGATCTGCAGCTTCACATCTGCATAACAGCAAATGTTGTCACTAGCGTTATTTCTGCCAAGTATTTCCTGCCAGTTTACCGGTCCAGACACATTTTTTACGGTGACTTTACAAGGGATGACGCAACAGATAAAATAAATTTAATTGTATTTTTATTTCTTATGTCAGATTAAGTGTAAGAAAGGGCCAAAATACCTCAAAATAAATAATTGATACAGTAAAAATACTCTTTTAACCGCCTCTGTTAAATCAAAACCCTGGTAAACAAAATCCAAGATCAAAGTTCAAATTAATTAGAGAAATGAAAAAGCTACACAACAGGATTTGTCCGACGTTACACAGGTAGTTGGCCCGCTTTGCCAACCTCGTGTGATGGAGCAGAGGACAACACGGATCATACCAGGATAGAGATAGAAGAGTATAAAACAAACTGTTAATTATTTTAAGAAATATATTTTTGTAACTAAGTTGTTGATGTGTCATGTAAGAGATAACAGGCAAAAATACATGTACAATTTAAGTTAATTTACAATTATGTTGTTAATAATAACTAAAAAAAACTTAATTACAGTAAAACCTCACTAACTCGACACCCGGTGATTTGACAGTCTGTGTAACTCGACTGTCAACAGCACATCTAGCTGGCTTTGTCTTACTAGTGAAATGAAATGAAAAATGTCTTTATTTAAGAGGTGAAGTTAGTACTAGCAAGTCCTCTCTAGCACTTAACCTCTAAAACATAAATAAACTATCCACTACATAAATAAAATTAATAATCTAAAGTACCATATTATAACATGATGAAATTAAATTTACTAACCCTTAAAAGTCCATTCACACAAGCCGCCAACAACCCGCCACACCATCCCCATAAACTCACTCATGTCTGCTGCTCAAAATAATCGATTTTGTCTCTGCCCCAAACCTTGCACAGTTCTCTATGGATTTTATATAGTCAGGAAGAAAATTCCACATTCGAATTGCAGATACTACGAAAGATTATTGATTAAAAAATGCTGTGTGTGTAGATAAAAGAAGATAGCCTCTACAAGTGGAACGAGTGCTGATGTCAGAAATAAAATGGAAGTATTACAGTAGAGTCCGGCAAACTCGGCACTGGATAACCCGGCAGTCTGGATAACTCAGCCATCACCTGGCTCAGAAAATTAACGATTTTTTGAGTCCGAGTTAAACATGGACACAAGCCAGATCAAGTATAATCATTTGCAACTCGTACTAAGGATTTGTTGCACTATATCTGATGACTTAATACTGACTTGTAATATAAATCTAATTGAAGTAGGCGGTTAAATAGCTTAAAAATTGTATTGCTCTTATTTTTAGCTCTAGTTTTTGATAACGCGGTATTTCACAAACTCGACACCCTTCACATTACGCCGAGTTTGTGGGACTCTACTGTAGTACATTCGAGTTTTCAAACACGGCTGAAGATTGTTTACTCAATATGTAAAAATACTCATGCAAGTAATGAATTAATATGTAAAAAAATTTATCTGTTAGCTTATTTCATCTATTAAAACCCATGAAAAATGTAAATGTTCTGGATAACTCGACAACCTTGTTATCAGTTGACAACCAAGTTTGGGAACTTGACAACCTCTAAGTTCACAAATTGTCGAGTTAGTGATGTTTTACTCTAAGATTTCAAGGTTAAAATAACAACAGGCTGCTTACCGTTATAGAAGTCTGCATGGACAGTTTTCTCATTAGCAGCTAAATCAACCAACAAACTGGTGGGCCCCCCAGCCTAAAACAAGGTAAAGATTGTATGTAAAAACATGACAGAAAGATAAAAATCCCTCTTCACCTTGATATAAATAAATATTTTTTTTTAATAGGTTGGCGGCCTCTTTTAACCTTGCATTTGCCCGTCCACATAGACTACAGATCTGTGCGTGGAACGTATCCAGCAAAGCAAGGGGTGAGCCGGTACAGTACGAAGGTGAACTCTACTGATACATTTTAGTGGCAATGACCAGGATCCGAAGCCACGACCCACGAATCACTGCCCTGGTCCTTAGTCCGTGACGCTACCAACTAAGCCACGGTAATATTGTAAAATGTTGTAGACCTATTAGTAAGGTTAGCTTGTTTATGAATACATTTCGATCAAACTTGGCAAATTTATTTATTTTAGCCTATAAGTTACTAAGTTTAAGCTTTTCCTTGTAGCAGCAAACCTAGGTACTCGTTAAACCTAATGTTATTTGAATAGTTTTAATTGAAAATCAATTCAGTGAAATGGAAATTCACTTAGTCAGCAGGTTTGCTGGGGTACACTTCCATATGGGTCGCCGGAATGGTCGCCCCCGGAAACATCACCCCCCAGGCTAAACGTGACGTCACGAAACCAGACAACCAGCTGGTATAAAATCTATGTCCGCGACCGGAATCGTTCCCCCCCAAGGGCTTGACAAGTAATTTATCAAAATCTATTTGATATGAACTAATTATGTTATTAATTTTAATTCAAACAAGTAGAAACGGAAAGGTCTTCCCCGGCAAGGCATCCCCTATGTACACCCCGGAATCGTCCCCCCCTGAAACGCTACCCCTAGTAGGGCTGGGCTGCTCGGCAGCCTACCTGCTGCCCGTCCTCCTCAGTCCATTGTTCTGAGGGTCGGCCGCTCGTTCATTATTATTGTCGCTTGGACAACAGCTTTTCCACAGAAGAAAATTGCAGACGCTGTGGTGGAATATCAATCAGTAGATTTAGATGTGTATGAACTTCTAAGACAACTAAATAATGCGAGCAAAGATTGACTAAAAAATTATTCTTTTATACTTAATTCATAACCAACGATAATGCGTAAACTATACATTTTTTCTGTTGCATTAAATGGTAGTTATACTTATCAACATCAGTAAATTTACCTTACACCCTATGGTAATTGTTAAGCAACACATTTGTTAAAAATAGAATAATTTCTAAATGTATTAAAAATGAATCGCATTGCTTTAGGTTTGGCCCCGATTTAATTAATAATTTGAAAATTAGAAAAAAATTATTAAATAAGAATAAACATAATAATATCTTTTAGGGGATTAATCCCTTAAACTTATCGAAATAATTAATTGTTAGTAATTACAAATATGTAAATGATACTATTCTAAAGGTTATGCCAAAAAGTACCTTTATTCAGAAACAGTACGCCTAGGCTAGTTTCATCACTGGAATAGAGTCAAAATATAATGAAAGTATAATCAAAATATCAGAATCACTTTAAATCGAGAAGAGGACTTGCAATCAGTGTTGATATACCAATAAATTAGTTTTGTTATAAGATGTATATGTTTAGAAAACCGTTTTGCTACTGAAGTTTGCAAAATTAGGTTTCATTATTACTAAGGAGAATATAGGCCTATACGTGAGTTTAAATTTTTAATATGTAATCAAAATTTGAAATGTTGAGCTGTAAACTTGTATTACATCGCTTAAACGATAGTAACATTCGTATATACTCCAATTAATGTATCACAAAGTGCCAATTATAATTAAAAATACCCCCGACACAGCAAACCTGCAGACTAAGCGAATTTCCACTTGCCTGATTGGATTTACGCTAAAATGTCTCTGTAAAAATATCACATTTATTCCCTATTTAAATAACATTAGTTAAATATATATATCAATATCAATATCAATTGATATGGGGACGCCACCTAGGTGCGTATTTTAACCCAAATATGAGTGTAGAATGGTGTGAGATGATCTGTGTAGCTTTGTTACTGACTAAGATCAGCTGTTTCATTAGCCAGGACCATTTATTTAAAGCCCTGGGTCCAGTTTTGAACTATCAAAGTTTAACGAGTACTTAGGTTTGCTGCAACAGGGAGGGTAAAAAGGTGTTTTTTTTTTTGTAAAATGATAATAGTTTAGTATGAAATGAATGCATTTTCCAAATTTGATTAAAATATGTATATAAACAAGCAAACTACAACAGTTTACTTATTCTAAGTATAACATTGAAATTTTAAATTTACAGATTTTTGGAATTTTCTCCGTAACCATTAAGCGCATAATTAACGCTTCAATATACTAAATTATTAGGTTTTTTTAAGCTCTACAAAATGGTTTATAAAGAAATTGCTAAATTTTAACTTTTTATTGTCAAAAATGGGAAAACCCAATTTTTACCCCATAAAACCCCCCATAAACCCCCGTTCCCTTGGTTCGATCAAGCTGGTTCGCGAGCTCGTTCGAATAAACGTAGGTTTACACGCTTGTACCAAATTATATCAAATTTATGAATTTGAACGGGTGGTGTTTTTGGCATCTAGGGACCTCAAAACGAAAAAGTAAATCGGTCCCGGGTCCAGGTCTTACCATGAGTACTACGGTAATAGCTTATTCCCTATAGGGGAAATTCGCTAACACAAATTTAGGATTTTGTAACAAAGTTTGGAAGACAGGTACTTAAATTGAGAAATAAATACACACAATGAGTACTAAATCGTCTATTAGGCCTATACATTTTAATTATGGAAAGAAAATACAAAAATATAACTGAATAACAATTTAATATTCTACAAAGTGTCAAGGAATTTATACACTACCGGTACAAGCTTAATTTACAATATAATTTAAAACAATAAAATATATCAAAATCAAAATCAAGAGCACAAAAAGAAGAAAAAAGCATAAAGATAAATTTTTTGTGTTACGCACTTTAAATTTATGTGTTTTGTTTCTTATTCTTATTTTTATTTCTTTTTATAAATACAAATTTTGCTACTGTAGTACCTTTACCTATTTGGTAGTGTTTGGACACCTTCTTATATGGGAAAAGGTTGAAAAATATGTTGATAATATTTCAAATTATCAAATCAAATATTTAGTCATTTTAACTACGTAAAAAATAATGTAAGTAAATAATTAAATATATTTTCTTAAATTGTTTTTGGCAACAAATAAATCATTAAAAACCTGGTAAACATTAAAGATCAAGAGCACAACAAATAAAGGAAAGCAAAAAGAAAAATCATTTGTGTCCTAAATAAAAAATGGCTTTAATACAAAACAACACGTTTTACTAAGTTGTAGAATATGCCTACGGTTATCTGTAAATATCAACCTATGCTCTTATTTAAGATTTCCTTCTGACTCCTTGCGGGATGTCCCCATTATATGACAGAAAACTGACAGTCTTTAAAACGTTGTTTTTAGGTGTGGTGTTTATGTACCAAATCTTATTGATTTATCTATTGCCGTTTTGAAAATATTAAGCCCATGCGGGACTTTATAAATACACCCTGTATATGTGACCGTGAGCGCGGTAACTCGGGCAACAACGCTGCGAGTTTGATGAGATATGTTACAAACGTGTAAGCCTAAGTTTATTAGAACGAGTTCGTGAACCAGCATAATCGGACTATGGGGACGGGTGTGTCTGAATTGCGAACACCTCCAAAATGCTGGAGACTGAACATAAGTCGCCAAGATTGCGCACAAATATTCGGAATCGGGGAAAATGGATGAGTCACTGTTTCTTGTAATTTATGGAAGATTTAATACAATTGTTTTAAATGTAATGTTTTAAGACTTGACTTGGCATGTACAAAAACGCAAAGAGTGGAAAAGTAAACGGATAAGCAAGAATTCATATGGGTGGGTTTCATCGATTTCCACTAGAGTGTGCAATTAATTGTGATATATTATATATTTAAACGTGACAGAGTTTTTTTTTTTCATTTCAGGATTCTGAATCAACCACTTTCGCGATTTCGTGATTTTTGTGTTGAAATAAATATAATTTTCTAAGGAAGGGAATGTCAATGCCATGATTTCATTTTTTTAAGTTTAATTTTTTTAGTCTAGCAGCCGACGCTAATAATTTAAAGTCGTTTCAGTGCTGTTTTAACTAACAGCTGGTTTCAAACTGTCATTGACGTTTTTATGTTACAAGTAGTTTACTTAAATAATTGATCGTCGGTGTTTGCCCGCATACTGTTTCAATTTTAAATGTTGTTTTTTCCTACCGTAACGGATCAGCGTATTCAGGAAATCTGTAGATTTGAACTATACATCTCTAATACTTCTACCCTTGGGTAAAATCAAGATTTGTCTGAAATCAAATCTGTGTAAGTAGGCCTATAAGTTTATGCCATGAAAGTTATGTCATGTTTGTAGAATGTGTGTAGTCTATATCGATATACCAAAATTTCGAGGGTTATAAAAATGTAAACCGGTGTAGCAGGTATCTAGAAAACACTGGGGAAAATCCCCTACCATATTTTGAGCTGATTTCATTGTTAGTGCAACTTCAGAGTATACTTTTTACAAATTACATTACCATTTTCAAAATCTGTTTAAAACTAAATGAGGCGTTCTGTTCACAAATTAACCCCTTCCAAATTAATTAAGTACATAGGCTAGATAACACTGATAATTATGAATTATGTTAATGCACGAATTATGGTAAAAAGATGAAACTGACTTTAGTAAATAACTAACTAAACTTTTCCTTGACTATGTTAAACAAACGTATTTGGCTCAGGTATTCTTGGGAGGGATACCTGAAGTAGGGAAGTCTAAGCTATTTTACAAAAAATACTTCCCGCTATAAATACAGTTGTACTCTACGAATTAATAGTCTGCAAATTACAGACGAATTCCATAAATCAATACTCTGAGAATAGTGGATACTATACTTAGGATTATGTTCTCTTGCAAACTTTTAAGTTATACGTATTAATATTCTGCGAACTACAGGTAGATTTAAATGTGTAACTTTCAAAACAATGGGCGACCGTTCATGGAATAACTGTACTACTTCAATGTCAATTTAGTTATTTAATATCAGCAGTGTGAAATCATGAAATAAAGTGAATGTGACACTGTTGCTTGCTTCTCTGTCAACGCAAACGTAAACAGTGTGAGCTTTTTCCCGTTTATTGCCGAAGAAACTAACCAATATTTACTTTCTAAATTCTTTTCACGGGAAAGAGTCCTTCACCAATATCAAATCAGGAATATTCTCAATGCATTTATTTTACCATAAAATCCAGACAATTATTTAAATGTATAAAAATTATATACAGCATTTATTGCTCAATGTTTACAATTTACGAATTAGGAAATGTGAAAATATGTTGTCAAGTGTGTACTGACTGTATTATGATGTTGAGTGGTTGAAGCATGCTCATATTAATACGAGTTGATTCCTTACTTAATTGTCACTATTACTATAAACATTTTATTTCATTTCCACGTTTTTCAAATACATTTTATACGTTGACGGAAAAAAACTATATGTAATTTATACATCATTTTGATGTATAAAATTAAGGGGAAATGTCTAGAGAAAGCACAATATCAAAGTGTTAATTTGTATTTATCTTAATATCCACAACATTTGCGTAATAATACCAAATCCTTCCCATTCTTGCGAGTTCAGTCGAGCGGTGGTAATATGGGACAGTCCTACCCTTGTGAACAATAGCTGGCTCGAGTCACAAGCCCAAGCCCTACAGCAGGTATACCGGGGGAGATCATGGCAGGGGGGGACCTTTCCGGGGTGTGCATTTTGAAAACGATCGGGGTTAACGTATCCGGTTAACATAAATTCTAATTAGAAAATCTGGTAATTGTATATGATAAGTGAATGTAATTATCTAATTAATACGCAAACTCAAAAATAACTCGTCATATCGACGGGTGCATGCTGCAACTGAAATTGAGTGTCCGCGGCCGGAAACATCACCCCCCGGTCTCTGACGTCAATATGACGTAGGGGGGTGATGTTTCCGGGGGCGACCTTTCCGCGTCCCCCTTCCATATCTGTTGGCACAAACAACCGAATGAGTAATATTGATTATTCAATTGTTTAATTTGATATATCATTTGGTTAGTAAGGTTAGGTTAACATTACCTAACTAACCAAACGATATATCGATCGATATTTTCATTCGGTTGTTTGTGCCAACAGATATGGAAGTGTACCCGTTTGCTGCGGTGGGGGTATGGGTACAGTTTCTTAACTGGGCTATACTAATATTGCTAATATCGATTGAAACTTTATTTGTATCTTTAAGTTTGCAAACTTTAAAAACTTACATCTTCTAAGTCCATTCCAAACCCAGCACCTTCCGGAAACATTTCATCTGCAACGATAGCTGTAATAGGTTTCATCTTGGGTTCAACGACAGAAAGCCAAGGTGATGATTCCACTTTGGCAAATTAAATTACTAAAATACTAAGGAACTTCAAGCAAAGAAAGCAAATTAACAAGTGATATGATGCTAAATAGTATACTCGTTTTCCCGTGGATGATAAACAAAAGATTTTTACTGTTTAGGTTATTGGGTTCTGTCTGTAAACAAAACAACACGAACACAAACACTGCACTGACTGTGTGTGTGATGTATGACTAGACTAGACTGACTGACTAGCGGAGCGGAAGATTGATGGATTGGATGGAGACGAAAGACAAACAAGAAAATAGAAAGTTGCACATGTAAACAAGGGCACACTCAGGGTTTTTTATCTATGCAGCTTCATAGTAAATAATAAAATGTTACATTGTACCATAGACTAACCAACACTAGGAGTATGTTTTATCTATGATTGTACATACTTCAAATTAGACCAGAAAAAGTGTGAGTCCAAATAAAATTATTGATATGAAGAGAACAAAATTTAAAGCTTTTTGATTGATGATAATATCAATAAAATATTATCGATCAATCATTGAGATGGGGACGCCACCCATGGGGGTTTTCTTCCACCCAGGGTGACCATGGATCTACCAAGGTCGCCACCTAGGTGCGAATTTTAACCCAAATGTTAGTGAAGGAAGGACGAGTGTAGAATGGTGTTAGATGATCTGTGTAGCTTTGCTACTAACTAATATCAGCATTTGTACATATCCTTTTTGAAAATTATTATCCATGATACATTGAGGTTCACTAATGAGAAAACATTTATATTGCAAACATCAAAATTAATCAGTCTTCCTAGCAGCTGTTATGAGCTGTTATGATCCTTCAATATTTTAAGTGTATATTTTTTTCTGTGTCATTGGCAACCTTTTTGAAGGCAGACGTGTTTATTTTTATAAATAAATATTGCATGGCATTTACTTATTGTTCCACATATTCTAGAACAGATTGTAAGTAAACAAAAAAAAATTAATAATAAAAGCCAGGGTAATTAATACGCTAAATTAATTTATTTATAGCTAGAACAGCTGGGTCCAGTTTTTAACCATTCACAGGACATAAACATATCTCAAGATCGGTAATATGTTCAGACATGATTAAATAATAGGTTTGTATGTATTACACAATCAATACATACATTTGCAATACATTTTGGTGTTGGTTGTGTGGCCAATCTGACTAGCAGACGATGCGTGATGCCTGCGTCTTGCCTTGCGTCGTCTTGTCCATTGTCCATGTTGATGTTATCTATCTTACACTACGTACTTTGTGAACTATCTCTCTCACAAAATTCATTCCAATTAATTATTTTACAAGTATCCTAAGATCGGCGTCAGACCATTAAGTGCTAATATTATCTTATCAAAATGTGATGACCTTCTCCCCTTAAATTTTGTAAAGCAGTGGCTATTATTTTCAGAGTCCTAACCTCACTGTTAATACACAGTGTAATTTATTATAATTTTTTAAAAACTAATAAGTTTTGATTCCTTAAGTTGTGACTTTATATTTTAGTTTCATTTAAGAATGTCGCATCTTGCGATAGAGCTTTCCAAAATGGGTAGATGTTTTAGTTTACTTCTCAGAAATAGGGCTATCTCAAAATATAAACTTAAAAGTAGAACAACTATTAATTCACATCTTGAAAATAGACTTGTAGTGAATTTCTATAGTTCTAAACCACCTGATGATGAAGACAACCCAATAAAGAGGGCTTTTAGGGTGTTGAAAGGTGACTTAAAGTATACATTAGATTTGGTTGACGGTAATCTCAGAGAAGAAGATTTAGGAAGAAGAAATTTGATTCCAAATCACTGTGATGTTTTAATTGTTGGGGGAGGTGTTATAGGCTCTTCAATTGCTTATTGGCTGAAAAAGCGAGCACTTAATGGTCTGAGCGTCATCGTGTTAGAGAAAGATCCATCGGTAATAAATTTTAATGCTAGTGATAATGAGGTATGATTAAATTAATATAAGTTACATATGTAGCCTACATTTACTTTGTTTTAATGTGTCACGGGTACCTGTGACGATTTTATTTTGTAATGTTAATGTTGAATTCATAATTTACCAAGCTGAGAATTTTGTCTATAAACTTCAGATTTAGCAGAAGATTTGACTACTGTATTGATAACACCAGACATTCCATTCTCATGTTAAAGTTGTCACCAGTTTCCTAACCAAAATCGTAGTAGTTTGATATGAGCTGCTGACAGATTGACCTGAATCAAAATTACTAGATTTCGTTTGACTAGGCCTACATGAACTATTTACCAAGTAAAACTAATGGAATGACTTTTGGGGCCTACTAACTTATATTGTGAGCTACAGTAACTTTTATGACCTATAAACTTGTCAGAAAAAAGATAAAAAAATAAATAAGGAAGAAAATAGAATTTTAGACAATAGGTAGTACATTTTGTAACTGACGTATTGCGTAAACATTGGGAGAAAGGGAGACAAAAAGCACACAAAATTGGGTTTGTGAACGTTGGTATTTTATTTCCAAAGTAGTGAACCCATACTTTATTAATGGCTAAAGACACTCTCGCCAATCCAGTGAACACAATAAAACATTTTTAATCTTGATTGGTACTCTAGTTTTCTTGGAGTAGGTCGCATAAATTGGAACTTTGGCGTCACAGACACAATGAGAAACAAACGGACAGACATGCAGAAATTGAGATAAGACTCGTTTTGGCTTTCTTAGGGTATAAAACGTAAAAATAACCAAAAACTTCATGATTCTACGCAACGTAGGTAAAGACAAAACTATAATTTTATTTAAATAGATTTTTAGCATTACAGCGTACAATAGCTGCAGTTGACTTCAAATTATTCTTCCTTCAGTTACCTAACAATGTACATGTTATCTCACTGATTTGAGAAAGCAAAGTGGCCAATTCGCTCATCAGTGACAATGTCAACATTGTCTCACTCTAATTACTTTGTCTCACTCCGGATTTGCAACAAGAAGGCACGAAATAGTGAGCGCGTAACATGCAGACAAGGTCGTATGCACACGAAATACGTTGGCAGTACTGGCTGTAAATCCGCTGGTCAGCTGTTGTACTGTTGTATTTATTTGTCACTTCACATTAAATGTCACGTTAAAAGTTATGTCACTTCTGTGTAAAAATATGTTACGTTTCTTTACCAATTTATTTGTTTTATGGTAACTGTAGGAAAAATATAATGTGCAACTCGAGTGCAAAGTGCAATTGCTCACTAGTTGCACAAATAACTATAAACCACCATATAACAGCTGTTTAAAATGTCTTAATCTTAGAAGTTTCATATAAAATCTTTGTTTATCTAAATAATTTTTTACAGTATGCACACTGTTCGACTGTATTGTCATGTGGGGGTGTGCGGCAGCAGTTTTCATTGCCTGAGAACATCGAAATGTCTATGTTTGGAGCAGACTTTCTTCGCAACATCAAAGAATATCTTGGAATTGAAGGCCAGGACGCACCTGATGTACAGTTTACACCGCAAGGCTATTTATTTCTTGCAACGCAAAAAGGTGCCCACATACTTGAAGAAAATTCAAAAATTCAAAAGTAAGTACCCTATAACGTTCAAGTAATTTAATTATGAGATTATTTTTTTAGTTTCAACAAATAAATCGTTCAGTACAATGTTGTGCCATTGAAATTTAAAATTAATTAAGAAGGAACATTAGCCTCCAAGCCTGTCAAACATAAATGTGTACAAGCGTAGCCTCCAAGGCACCTTGCATTGGTGTTTGGTACCGTCTCAGTGGCCAGCCTATTGCCATGGTAATAACAAACATGTAAACATAAACATTGCACAGCATTATAAACTAGTGCAACAGCTGTTTTGGTTTGTCAGGACAGTGGGGTTGCGACTCTTGTCTCGTCGCAGCATTGCATTAGAGTGATGTTATGGTACAGTTCATTTTTGTTTCGGCTACCCTCTTGCTTTACATGATAAATGCATGCACAAGCCAGTAATTAAATTAAATAACATGTGTTGAACTCACCCTATGAGTTGAACTTTTTGACTGTTTCGTTCACCTTAGTAAAAGAAAAAAAAATGTTTATCAAAATATATATAATAGGCCTAATCTTTTAAAAGACCACATTTTTAAAAAGATTTTTTACACACTATTTTTTCTACTTTTAGCGACATTACGAACATTAGGGACATTACGGTATATTTTAGGATATCCTCTGGATTTCGTACTCGTCCCGGGATTTTGCGGGATATCCTGAGGCTAGCATACATATCCCGAGACATTCTCAGGACATATGGGACTACTATGGGATGTCTCTAGGATAAAGTGTGCTGTCTGGGGTACCTCTTAACCTCTGCTATTTGAACAAACTGTCAAATTTAAGTATTTACAGCTGACTCCAATTGATATATTATTTATTCTTCCAAAATGTAAACATTGAAATTTTAGAAGCCCATAGGGCACAAGGGAAATATAAAAATTAAACGATTTAATATTGTATTGTCATCCATTTGTGAGCTATGTTTCAAGTTTCTCTAGCTCATCGTGAAGTTAGTTTAAAATTTGTACAGACAAGAAAGCGAGCTAAAACGTGTTAATAAGTTTGCATGATAAATTCTATTAAAGGTAGGCCTATCTAAGGTTACTTTCCCTTCTTGAGATAAACTGTTACATGTTTCAATGCTTGCTACAGTTTGTATTACTACAGTGACAGAATTTGACACTATTTGATTGTACAGATCTTTGGGTGCCAAGGTGGAGCTTTTGAGTCAAAAAGTGCTGCAAAAAAGATTTCCTTGGATGAACACTGAAGACGTGGCTTTAGGCTGCCATGGTTTGGAAAATGAAGGATGGTAAGTACAATCAGCTTTGCTTGGTTGTGTACTTAAAGACAATTTGGTATTTGAGTTTAGATGTTGTGTAATTAATTTATTCAGACGTGCATTATTTTCTGTAACTATTTTGCATTGTCTCATTTGGTATCGATATCTTTGCTCAGTGGATAATCAGTATCTGTAACATTTCACTAACTCTCGTCACAGTAGACCTGCTGACTACGCAAATTCACTTAAATGAACTTGTACTAAATATTTTTAATATTTAACTATAGCTACTTTTAGCGAATTTCCCTATAGGCAAAGCTATTACCGTAGGTGGCACGGTGAGACCTAGGCCCGGGACCGATTTACTTTTTCATTTTGATATATGTGTGTGTCCATGAACATTTTTCACCGATTTTGATGAAATTTGGTTTAAAGGTGTCGCGAACTAGCATGATCAGACCATGGGAACAGGGGGGGGGGGGGGGTTATCAAATTTCCCAATTTCTCTCTAGACCTTTTTAAAGAGCTTAAGAAACAAATAATTTAGTGTACCTATTAATATGTTTTTTTACAGTTATTGGTAAAGGAGAAAATTCAAAAATTTGTATATTTAAAATACCCATGTTATTATTATGGAGAATATTGTAAAATGTTGTAGTATGCTTGTTTACGGATATATATGTTGATCAAACTCGGCAAATAAATAATTTTTTTTATATATAAATTTTTTACTCAGCTATCAGTATTTTACTAAAAAACACACTTTATTAGTTTCCTTGTAGCAGCAAACCTAGGTACTCGTTATACCTAATGTTATTAAAAGTACCGGGGGACCGAGCCATGGCTCGGTATAGTTGATTTCGATTGTAAAATCAATATAAAGGCAACTTAAGTGTTGCTAAAGCAATATCTTTAGGCCAGCTGTGTTTTATTTTCCTAGTGTTTTTACTTTTGGTTACTATGTAAATACTCATTATTGTAAACTTATACTGAAAGAAAGGAATTGATACAAACTTAAACTCTTAATATTCATTCTACTTTTATTAGGTAACTCAAAACTTACTTTAAAACAGGTAAACAACAATATGACTTTAACTTATCCACGAATTTCACAATATCAAGTCTTATTTACAACTAATTTCGCACTTAATTATTTAACTTCAAGTGGAATTTCCATTTATTATGATGGAAAATTTAACCTGACAATCCACAACAAATTATTTTATTTTCAGTCAATGGCAAAAACCTCATATAGAGGAACTTCAGTTATTACTATTGAGCAAAGATTACACTGAAAATTAATCAATATATAAGGGAAAATATCCCCTATATAGATAAATTAGTGTAATCTTTGCTCAATAGTAACAACTGATGTTTCCCCCTTTACCGTATACTGTGGTTGGCTTATTATGAACACAATATGTTACAAGTCTTTTGTTTTTCTTTTTACTTATTATTTTGTTCAACCAACATAACTAATCCTGAAGCCAATTTGGACTTATGGAATCCAACTGTGGGGAACATCCAGTATGTCGAACATAAACATCATCCAACGATTTCAGTCAAAAGTTTTAAGGTTCATTCTGCAAGCCCCGTGGTATGTTAATAACAATATCCTTCACAAGGACAGTGGAATTCCTACGGTTGAAGAGGAAATAACCAAATTTAGTGCAAAATATCTAAAGAAACTTGAAAATCACCCTAATCACCTGGCTCTAAACCTCTTGGACAACAGTACCAGTATATACAGGCTAAAAAGGATTCATGTTTTGGATCTAAGCACACGTTTTGTTTGAACAATTTAATTTTTCCCTTGTTTATTTACATATGTATTTTTTCATTGAAATATTTTTAAGTTAGCTCTGTCAATGGACAGAGATTAACTAACGTTTTATTAAAAGTTGTTATTGTATTTGCTAAATGTTCTAAAAATGAACAGATTGTAAATAAAATTGTGAAAAAAAACCAACATAACTACTTAGCAGCCCATGTGGCAAATGTTAAATTTGTATATTGTTATATTGAGTTGTATAGTGAAATGCGAATTTGCCTTAGATGTTGGTGGTCGTCAATTACGTTTTTAGGCTAGAAATAAATTATTTCCAACATTTAAAGGCTGTTGTCAAAGCTGTTTTCAAGTACTTTGTAAAATTATACATACAAGCAAATAAGACAAATAATAAGACATTTATTAGACATTCAAAAAAATTACAAAATTTTTCAATAAACAGTTGTATATGATTAACATTGATAAACAAGCAACATTAAATTGAGCTAACATCACAAAAAACCATGTAATGTTTAAAATCTAAAATTGGGCTAGGCTTGAAGACTCTATTTTAATATTTAAAAATTCATCCAATGTATAAAATGGGTTCAATTGTAACCAATTAAACAATCTATTTAATGCTTTTTTAAGCAAACTCTGAAAAGTCAATGGTAACTTGTTGAAAAATGTTACACCTAAATTAACATGATAATTCATTGATTTACTGAACCTAAACCTTTGTTGATCTAATTTACTCCTAAATCTGGTTACATGATCATGTATTTTTCTCTGACACAAAAGATATTTAAATTAATTTTGACAAACATCAATACCTCTAAAATATACAAGTGTACAATAGTCAGGGTCCCCGATGAGACAAAAAGTGGCCTGGAGCGGGCTAACCTTTCTGAGTCCGGCAAAACTCTAACAGCTTTTTTTTGTTTGATTAAAATTTTTTTAATTACAACTCTGTTACTCCAGATTATCCACCAGATAACACTTTCATAAAAAGCAAAATATGCCATTTACAAGTATTTACTGAAAACATGTCATTTTAGATTTATTAACAAATGTACAACTCTGGGCAATTTATTATTTACAAAATTAATATGGTCAGACTATGACAGCTTACAGTCTACTTTTATACCAAGTAATGTTACAAAATTTTCATAATCGTGAACAAATTGATGGTTTTCATGATTCTTTTTCAAGGTCACCAATATTCTCTGTGTTTTTTAGAATTTAAAAACAATCCATTTCCAGTAAACCATTCTTCAGCATCTTTAAAAACAGAATTGGCAACATTTTCCATACAATCTAAATCTCTATGGCTAACAAGTAAAGAGGTGTCATCAGCATAAATTGTTGACTTACAATCTAAATTGAAACTAATGTCATTAATTAAAATTAAAAACAAAATGTGGCCCATAACCGAACCCTGCGGTACCCCGACCTTTGTCCTTACTGTTTTTGATCTGCAAGCAAACATTGCTCACATAAGAATATAAGATTATTATATAAAAATGAAATATTCCAAAATATTTCAATACATTTAAAGTATCCCTAAAGAGTAGAGCAAGTAAAGAACTTGCCTGCATCTGATACAGTACAATACATACCTTCAATAAAACTAACTATCAAAGAAAATGTTTACAACAAAACAAATAAAAAATAGTGCAAGAAAAATAGAATTTCATAATATAACAAAAGTCTTTTCTCAAATGCACGAACCAAATCAATTAAAAACTTCGGTCCACACTACGTTGCGTGTGCGACCACCTGTTTCTGGCGGTACCACCACTTTCAATGCACTTCTACGCTTTACCCTTGAAAATGCAACGTATAGCATGCCATGCATGAATACAGGCGTTTGTAGCACGACGCCGACATATTTAAATGTTTGCCCTTGCGATTTATGTATTGTCATCGCAAAGGCTGGACGAATAGGGAATTGGTGTCTTTGTAGTGAACACCCTAGCTGAGACTTGCATGAATCAAGGGTGATTCTCGGTATGTGCACGTCTCGGCCAGAGTGTTCACCAGTGATGATCTTGGCTTTTATTATGTTAGGACAGAGTGCTGTAACTATCAGTCTAGTGCCATTGCACAGACCCTCTGAGACGTCAAGGTTACGAAGGAGCATGATAATGGTATTACTTTTTAGTCTGAGCTGGTGTGGTGGTAGGTCTGAAATCTCGATAGAGTTTAGGAATTCTGGGGGGAACTTTAAGGCACCTTCTGGTTCATCTTTAATTGAATCGTAACTTTTATAAATGGTCTCAGTTCCAGGAATTAAATTGATAACGGTGTTGTTAATTGTGTCGACGTCCTTGTTTAGGGGTGCAAGAATTGCTCGATCCTTCATCTCCTCAAAGTTTCTGTCGGAGAGACATTCTCCATAGATCTCGTTAACAATGTCATTAGTATTAGTGATGATGTCATTAGGGAGTTCAATTTCACTATCAGCGTTGGTATCAAGCTCTCCATTTCCAAGTTTCAGTAGGTACCTAGCAAAGCACTCCTCTTCCGCATCAACTCTCATATTTTGTTCCAGAGAGAAAACCCTGAAGTACCTCCAGAGAACACTTTTCTTGATGGAAAGGTCTAGAAGTTCGGTACGATTTGCCCTTGGCTGGACCGGTAGACACTGTCGAAAATCTCCTCCTAAAATCATTATTTTCCCGCCAAATGGGGAGTTCCTGTCACCTAGATCACGAAGGAGCTCGTCCATGCAGTCAAGACCGTATTTAGGAAGCATTGGTGCTTCATCCATCATGAACATGTTGACTGCTTCCAATTCCTTGAATTTTGAAGATCCACGTTTGATTGATGATTTTGAATCATTAGTCAAAGGAACTTTAAGACCAAATGTCTTGTGGGTTGTGCGTCCTTCTGGCAGAAGTATGGATGCAATGCCTGTAAATGCCATGCATTTAACAATGATGTTTCGACTTCGGCAGAGGTGGTACAAGGTATTGTAGACAAATGTTTTCCCTGTACCTCCAGGTCCATCAAGGAAGAAACATTTTGGTCCTGAAAACAAATCAATTCATGTGTACTATCACAACATTATGTTTTGCTACTGTCAGGATTTTAAAACTGGTGACATTGTTTGAATAGTATAAAGAAAGATAGTATACAAAATTGAAGCTAAAAAATGAATTAAATCAGATGACATTGATTAAAAACAAAAATTTACAATTTACGGTTAACTTCATTATTATCCTAGCTTATATTATCCAAGTCTGCGGGTTTCTAAAAGCTGAAGCAGTAGGATTCTGTTTTTTTTTTGTTCTTTTTTTTCAACAAATAATATGTGTTAACCATATGTTTTATTTCAAAACTGAAACTGTATTTTGATAACTAACTATGTCATTTACTTGTAAATAAAAAAAGGCTTGACCATTATTTAAATAGTTTCAAAACATACTGTTCTAAATATTGAAGTAACCTCCCTATTATTCAAGGTTATTGGTATCCTACACGATTACTAGAAAAATACCCGGTATGGATCATAAACATCAACAAATGACGTTTTTGGCCCGAAAATAAACATTATTTAACATTGGTTAAATGGAATTGCTAAAACATATGTTCAATGCTATTAGTGGTATCCTAGGTATTCTCGCACCTGAATTTCTCAGTTTATTAACAGTGTACTGTACCTGAACTCTCATCATCAAGTGTTTGGATGACAGCATCAACAAATTCCTTCTGTTTATCATTGAGGTTGTTGTAGAGGCGATGGCCAATTTCATGAGATTGCCCTACGTTAAAAACCTCCTCATTCATCTCGAAGTCGTTAATATCATCCATTCCATAGTTCTCTACCCAAAAACGGAAGTTGCGTCCTAAAATAAGCACGTTTAAGTGTTAAAAATTTCTAAAAAGTGTCATTCAAGTTTTTGGAACACATCACAAATAACGATAAGTTAATAAAGCTGAAAGAATTTGGGTAAATAATTGGGAGTAATTATAGGTGATCAATCACCACCCAAAGGCTCAAAATGTTTGTTATTAAGACGATTTATTTTGCTGGAAGATCCGCAATTATGTATGTTTCAAGGTCGATATCTCCCAAATTAAAGTACTGTTTACAACAATGGTTAGAATAATGTGTGTCATGAATGTATTATTCATGAGTGAATAATATGATTAAATGGGGTTTGTGCTCTCTTATTTAAAACACACACTAATTTCCAACCCTTTTTTTATATTAAATTAACATATTTTAGGTTAGTTTTTAAAGACTGTTATAAAAATATCTGCAAAGGTTTGATTCTGAAATCATCTGTTTTTTATAAATTTGTGATTAATAAATAATAGTAAGGACTGTATTAGACCATCTTTGTTAATTATTTTGAAATGACTTTTAAAGACATTAAAATAATTGAATATTGATATGGTATTATGTATGATATGTTGAAGGAATTCACTAAAGATTGATATTTCACTTTGGTAGACCAATAGACAACATTCATCGACCATTGGCATGGCTAACCTACTCGCTGTCAGTTTAAGAGAAAGATATTATCATTTAAAATAAAATATAAATAAATATATTACAAATTTTGAAGGGGTATACACCCAAAATAAACTTAATTTAAGTTTTGTAATAAGTAATATTTATAAGTTGATTATTACCTTCTGTAGCTTCAGTATTTAGCTTGTAAGCTATGATTCTATATGCTCTGTTGTAAGCATCTTCTAGAGGGGTTCCAGAAATCTCTGCTTCTCTAAGAAAATCTTCTGCCAACTCGTCCTTAAACATATCCCAGAGACGTTTAGGGTTTTCTGGTGATCCGAGAATCAAGATTTGACAAAAGAGTGTCCTCATGACACTCGGCATCTTTGACAAAGCGGATTCCCGCAGCCCATCAATCCATTGCTGGTCATCATATGTAAGGCCTTTTGCCAGGCATGCTTGTTTATAAGTGGAATAGGCAGTCCCATTTACAAATTTAAGGTCTTCAAAACTTTTGGCATCTTTGGTATGAAAGAGGAGCATTCTCAAGTGATAAAGTTCAGGTTGGGCCACCAAGTTCACGGTGTGGATCCTTCCAATAGTTTTTGAGCTTCGCTGTCGTACCACCCATTCACTTGTTTTGCCTAACCATTTGTACTTTTCTGGCATCTGCCAGTAGAAGTAGTAGATTACTTCATTCCCATTCTCTTCTTCTATGTGAAGTTTAGAGTTGTGTTTAAAGTACGCCTCTAAGGTGGACCCTTTCAGGCCAGTGTCCGCTACATCTTCTTGTGTCTGTTCCATGTTTCCCACACGGTACTGACCTTCTAGATGGATGTCCAAACGTTGCACCGAATGGCTTTTCCTTTGGATTTCATTTCCAGCCAGCCTCCAACATGCTTCAGGGGGCGAAATATAACGTGCCTCAACAAATGTTTCTGCTTCATTATACATTATTCGGGCCACATTTTCAACAATTTTTACATTTGCGCAGTCATGCCCTTTATAAATGTATTTATAGAGGTACTTAACGGCTCTAACACTACCAACATACTCGATATTTATGTGACACATGTATTTCTTCAGTAAATAGCCATTGTATGGAGCAACATGTCTATTGTCCCGTGTAACTTTTTGTCCATCACTGTTTTTGCGGTACACCGCATGGACGTGAGAAAATTCTGGGTTATTTGGATCCAGTTGTGGGTCATACCGTCTCTTATAATTCGGTTTTTTGTTGTCAACAATTGACGTAAACTCTTGATGAGCTTTGGGGAATCCAAAGCGGCATTTAGCTGATCCACCCTTATTCTCCATACATGATGCAGACGGATTAAATTCGCCACATGGATTGTGAATCATCCATTTGAGGACCAACTCCCTTAGAACTGGGTCATCATTAGGAATTTCTGCCGAAATGAAAGTGTCTACTTCCTCTGGAGACCGGAGTTTGTCTTCATTTGCCATGATGACAAGAAGATGTAGGTGGGGTAATCCTCGTTTTTGAAATTCTATAGTGTAAACAAAAGCAGAAGACTTCCCAAAAATCTGTTTCTTACTGATGTCTTCAACTATGCTATCAAATTTCAATTTGGCTACCCTAGCCACAATGTCAGGTCTTTCTTGGGCGAACTGTTGTAGTTTAGAACCATCAGAGAGCTCAATACATGCAGCTTCTTTTAATTCTGGCCATGTTGGACTGCACGTTATTGTGATAAAAAAGTCTGGAGAGCCAAACCTTCGGACAATTGCCATAGCGTCTTCAAAGTGTTCAGTGAAATATCTCGTTGATCCGGGAAAAGATGATGGTAAAATCAGTTTTTCAGCAACTGTAGCATTTTTCTTTTCAGCCAATTCATTTAGAAAATGTGTTACTCCTGCATACTGATCAGCTTGAAGTTTCTTTTGGTTATATTTGATCCACTGAATACGATCACGTTCAACACGGATGTATGTGTCCACGACGTACTGTTGAAACAGTCTACCACCAAAGTGGAGAGCATTAAATCCAATCGACCTTAGATCTAATCCCTCTAGCAATGGTTCAGGAGGAAGAGCCTTGGCTTGTTCTGGACGAAAGGCTAACCTGTATTGAGCCAACTCCATCCTCGTCATGTGTGCACGGCTTGCATAAGGTGTTTTAAGAGGAAGCCCTACAGTAAACCCAAAAGTTCCTTTTGGGTAGAGGAGAGGGTAGGTGAATGGTTCTACTCGGCTGTCAATGTTCTTGAGCGTTATTAACTGTTTTCCTCGCTCCTTAATAACCATCTCATTTTCCGGGATACTTTGGTCTGCATTTAATGTAATTACAGCAGCAACTTCATTATAAGTTGGTGAGTTGAATCTCCTGGGATCATCGCCTAAAAGTAAACATCGTAAATTAATGATATGAACAACAACAAAAATCTTAACTTTAATCATTATTTAGTTCTAAGAGAAAAATGACACAAATAAAAATAGGTTTTTCCGTTTTTTACCCTAAAAACACAACATTTCACAATTTCTTTCCAAACCATTTTGTAGAGCTTAAAAAAATAAATAATTTAGTATATTGAAGCGTTATTGTGCGCCTAATGGTTACGGAGAAAATTCCAAAAAATTGTAAATTTAAAATTCCTATGTTATTCTTATGGAGAATAAGTCAACTGTTGTAGTTTGCTTGTTTATGAACATATTTTGATAGAATTTGTAAAATACATTCATTTTTTACTTAACTATTACTTTTTACAACAAAACACCTTTTTACCCTCCCTGTTGCAGCAAACCTAAGTACGTTAAACTAATCTATTAAAATAGGGAATAAATGTGATACTTTTCAGGAGTCATTTTAGTGTAAATCCAATCAGGCAAATGGAAATTCGCTTAGTCTGCAGGTTTGCTGCGGCGGGGGTATTATTATTTTAACAGGCTGTTGTAGTCATTCTTACATGTAATATAGAAAGCTACGGAGAAAGGAAATAAAAAAGGCTACGGCACGTTTGCCTATGCTTATATGGAGGTTTTCAGAGTTTAGTACTGAGATTGCAGCAAAACGTTAGTTGTGGCGACCCTTCAATTAAATTTCCCTTCAGAGCTATCATATTTATCGAGGAGTAACAAACACAAGACAACTTACTTGATAAGTTTGCATAAGTTTTTATGTTTAGTTACTGTTTATTTTATATTTCTGGTTTTATATTTTTGCAGCAACTACAAATAACATACAAAATAATTGTGATTAGAGAAAACAGTATTATTTTACCTGCACGTTCAGCAAACACCAGGTGGACGTGTGGTGGTTGGACACCAAGAGCTTCAGCACGCTGATTGTTTTCCTCAACTATCTCCCTCATCATCGTAAAAGCCTGTGAAAATGGGTTTTGACTTCTCATTATCTCCTCTAAAATCTGTATTAGTTCTTGATTGATGCCTTGATTCATTGGTTCATTCATACGTTCTGCAACGGCTGTTTCCGGATCAATGAAGTACATTTGGCCATATCTAGGTCTTTCCAAATCACCCTCACTGTTGCTGACTGGCTGAGCCGCCAAATTTAACTTGTGATACACTTGTCCACCAGCGGTAAATGTATAAATACCTTTACTATTGAAAGTCCTGTCATCAGCAACATTGAATGAAGAAAAAGCAAAACAGGCAGAAATATTTCGAATTTTATCGTGGAACTGTTTGGCTAGTCTGTGTTGTTTAGTGTACAGCAATGCCAATTCATTGGGAAACTCGGGCGCAGGTTGTTCAATGCGACCATGAAGGCAACAGTCACCAAACGAATTAGGGTGAATTCTGTTCTGCACTCTCTCTTTTAAAAAATGAACAGCACCACAATGAACACATGCAATGTCAAACATTCCCAAATTGTTGTACTCTACGAGGCTTGAGGCAGCAGCTTTATAGGATTGAAGTTGATTGCGCTCAGAATTCTGTCGTATTTCAGCTGTACGACGACGCTGTTCTAGAAGGCGTTGAGCACGCTCGTCAACCACTTCATTATCCCTGCGGTTGGCATCTATTTGCCTCTGTTCTTCAAGACGTCGAACACGCTCGTCATCGTCCTCGGCGGCTCTGCGGATAGCGGCTGTTTGCCGCAGTTCTTCCAGGCGTCGAACACGCTCGTCTTCTTCTTCGGCGGCTCTGCGGATAGTGGCTGCTTGTCGGAGTTCTTCGAGGCGTCGTGCTCGCTCGTCTTCGTCCTCGGCGGCTCTGCGGATAGCGGCTTTTTGCCGCAGTTCTTCCAGGCGTCGAACACGCTCGTCTTCTTCTTCGGCGGCTCTGCGGATAGTGGCTGCTTGTCGGAGTTCTTCGAGGCGTCGTGCTCGCTCGTCTTCGTCCTCGGCGGCTCTGCGGATAGCGGCTGTTTGCCGCAGTTCTTCGAGGCGTCGTGCTCGCTCGTCTTCGTCCTCGGCGGCTCTGCGGATAGCGGCTGTTTGCCGCAGTTCTTCCAGGCGTCGAACACGCTCGTCTTCTTCTTCGGCGGCTCTGCGGATAGTGGCTGCTTCTCTGAGTTCTTCGAGGCGTCGTGCTCGCTTGCCCTCCTCCTCGGCAGCCCTGCGGTTGGCGTCTCTTTTTCGCTGTTCCTCAAGGCGAGTGGCACGAACCTGACTGTCTTCTGACATTCTTCTTTGCTCAAAATAATTTACCTTTTCTTCCACCATAGACTGACTTATTTGAGCACTTACATCTGAAATTATCTCCAGAGCCCTTATCTTCGCACATCTAATGAGTTTGTTGGAAGTCATCAGCTGTACAAATAAAAAATCTGTATTAAGGTTGTGTTAATTTGTAATACTGCATCATTTGTATCCTAGTCTACTGAGAGTAAAAATTTAAGCATCACCTGGCCCATTTTAGAATATATTCCTGTCTACACTTGTTGCGTTACCTATATCTTACTCTTGGCATACTCCAATACCAGAATCAGAATAACTAATCATTATGGAAAATGAAAATAAATGTAAATAATTTCAACAAACAATAACAGAGGTCTATTTGTTTACTACCTACAGTAAAAGTTCATGAACATATATGAGTATTCTCTCTCCTATCTACCATTAATGATTACTTTGGGCAAACGTTATCTTTCTATGGCAGTCTTTGGGTACCGGTACATAAGCCATTTACACTGTTCAAAAAATCGAGTTATGCAAATTTTAACCACATATAATTATAATGATGACAGATTCTTTTGCGTGTTTAGAATATAATTTTTTAAATTTTTCTGTTTGAAATTCATAATTTTCTACAGTACATTAAATGTCATTTCAAATATGAATTAACCACAAAATGAACGGTTCAATTTTTTAAAATTATTCATTAGTAGGCTACCGTAACAATGCGGTTCAGTTATAGTTACTCATACTCACATTTTTATCTGATTGATCATTTAACATGCGCACTCCATTTGGGACCTGAAATTAAAATATTTGTCTTTTATGCTTGTTGGAAAGGTAATTTTCATTGTAAAGTATCTAAGTGTAAGCTATTTTTCGATCATCGTAAAATTGGTGACTGATTACCGGTACTTACTTCATTGGTTATTGGTATTATTAATTTATCACAAAATAATATTTTTAAACTAAATAAATTAATTGTTTTGAATAATTTTACATTAATAATACGGTAATAGTACGGAGATGATAATAACAACTCACATTCACATTTTGTTCAGATTGAACTTCTAAGACACATACACCAGACCCCTCAGGTCCTTCAGGTTCAGGTTCAGGTTCAAGTTCTTTTGCAACCTAAAATAAAAAAAAAATGTTTTGTCAATGAAAGTAAATTTAAGCTCCTTTCTAAAGGTCCTAAAAAATTGTAACTAACCCTATAGCCTCCCTCTTCCTCCTCATGCTACTTAGGCTACTTACTTTCCGTGTCCGGAAATCAGACTTTGCTTTTCCAGAAATTAGCTACCAGAAATTAGCTAGCAGAAATTGGTGACTGATTACCGGTACTTACTTCATTGGTTATTGGTATTATTAATTTATCACAAAATAATATTTTTAAACTAAATATATTAATTGTTTTGAATAATTTTACATTAATAATACGGTTGAGATGATAATAACAACTCACATTCACATTTTGTTCAGATTGAACTTCTAAGACACATACACCAGACCCCTCAGGTCCTTCAGGTTCAGGTTCAGGTTCAAGTTCTTTTGCAACCTAAAATAAAAAAAAAATGTTTTGTCAATGAAAGTAAATTTAAGCTCCTTTCTAAAGGTCCTAAAAAATTGTAACTAACCCTATAGCCTCCCTCTTCCTCCTCATGCTACTTAGGCTACTTACTTTCCGTGTCCGGAAATCAGACTTTGCTTTTCCAGAAATTAGCTACCGATATGGCTTTGTCATTCGCTTGTAAAAGGTCATCTAATGTGCAAGTCTGGTCTAGGCGTGGACATCAGTAGATGGCCGGGATCCTGAACAACACCACACGCACACAAAACGTTTTCTTCGTCATGTGATGAAGTAAGAGACCCATTTCTGCATGTTTGTCTTGCATTTTGGTACTGTACCTCGACCCTGATTCAATCTAGCTAGAGTGTTCCACACCGTGATGAAGGCATCCACCAGGAGCCAGTTCCTCCCTGGCTTGTATGCGAGGGTTGGCCTCCCACCTTGCCACCCGATTGCTTGAGAGTGATCCATCCAGAACTCGTGTCCGTGATATGAAGATTTTTGGACCGAAGTATGACACTAAGATATTTGTGTGTAGGACAATGCTCAAGACGGTCTCCACACCATGTCACATTCAACTTACGACCTGCTTCTCTATTGTTTGGGTGAAAAAGGCACAAACGTTCTACTTAAAACACTCTTGCTACTGCAATAGAACAAATTCCTGAATGATATTAGATTTTACAAATAATAATAATTATAATTGCTGGATGCTAGCTCATAGGCTACAAAGCCATTCTTATCTACACAGGTTTTGAAGTATTGAAAACATACTTAAATACCTACCTAAATAGGTACCTACTTAAATTTATTAGAGAAACTGATATCATTATATTTATTTAACCATATTGACCAGTAAGTTGGACAAAAGTTAAGAACTCAAATTTTTTCAAACAAATAAGTTTATTCCTTAGTTATCCTACCGTTATAGAATAGTTTTAATTAATCCTAAATGAAATATGTAGGCTAACTATTTCAGTGATAATAACGATGTTAACAAAATTAAAAAAAACTCACATTTTCTTCTGGGACTCTATAACGTTTAGGCTAACCGGGTGTCCATTAGCTTTGCAATTAAATAAAAAAGAATGTTATGTTCTTTGAAGAACGTTGATATCATATATAATCCAGTTTTAATTAGTTAGGCCTAATAACTTTTAACTACCAATCATAAAAATTGTCATCTAACTTTTTAACGTACCTTACACAATGAGCTATAGAGAAATATAAAATAAGCAACTCTATTCCAATTTCTGTATTTGTGGTGTAAGCTAGTAATGACATACCACACGAACTTAATGTATGTAATTAAATTAATAAAGGTTTATATTTTATAACTTACCTGGTCTTCATCAGCTTTGTGACTTTTGAAGAAATTCCCCAACTTTTTCAACCTTTTATTTGGTGGTCGTCCTCTTTTCATGATTTCAGATTATTTGTTGAGTACATTTCCATCTAGTAACGAATCTTTTGAGGCAATATGTTTACAAACAAAACTCTATTGTTGATATGTTAATCACAAACATGTGACTTTTAAAACCACATGTGCTTAATGCAACATTTTTATTTCCGTATTAGTTTTGCCATTTTCATTTCAGTATTAGTTTTGCCGTAATACGTAATGACATAATACAATCCAATCGGATTGAGTCGACTCTAGGTAGATTTTAAACCAAGTTGGCCACAATAAGAATAAAATTTAATCGACTTCTTTCGAGATAGTGATATAGTAATACACTTTTTACCGTTCTAGAGTTGAGATATAGTTACCAAAGTATGCGCTTGCATAAAGCTCATACGATTGACATACCACTTTTCCATAATTTCATACTACATAAATATCTTACCCTTCTCTTAGCATTTAAGCATAGATAGAACATGATAAAACATAGTCACTTAGAAGATTTCCCATCCTTATTGAACAGCTGAAGCCAATTTTATTGTTAGTTATGTCTGGTTTTCCATGGATGTCGTGTTTTGTTTACAATTTGTTTCTTGTTATTTCAGTAATTTAAACCCTCGTTTAACCAAATAAAACTATCTAATCATAAACAATAACTCGTCCACTACCTATATATCCAAACGGCGAGACACAAATAATGAGAAACTAACCCTAAAATAATATTAACAAATTGTAAACAAAAAACGACATCTACAGAAAACCGGACAGAACTAACAATAAAATTGGCTTCAGCTGTTCCACAAAGATGGGAAATATACCCGTAGCATTTTAGTATTTTAGATTCATTAATCCAAATGCCTCAGACGCTTCCTACACTCCGCACTGCTAGCCTTTACTACAAACAATGTATCGAGTAATCTTCAGTATAATCTTTGCTTAATAGTAATAACTAACTGATGTTTTTCCTTTTGTACTGTATTTGTAATTTGCCAGTATACTGTGGGTAGTAGGCTTATTATGAACACATGCTACAACTTCAAGTCTGTTGTTTACTTTTTCCTTGTTATTTAATTCAGCCAACATGGTTACCTAGCAACCCATAAGACTAATGTTAAAAAAATGTGATTTTCACTTTCATTTTTCTACGTATTTAGATTTTTGTTGGCAGTTCTAACTGCAGTAAACTCGTTTTTAGGCCAGAAATAAACTATTTACAACATTTGAAGAAAATCGTCGGAGCCGTTTTCGAGATCTTGGTGCAAGCATACATACATACATACATACATACATACAAGCAAACCTTGCTCGTATTAGAGTATAGGATACATTTATTTGAAAATCTATTCAGACAAATGGAAATTCGCTTAGTCGGCAGGTTTGGTGCGGCGGGGGTATTTATTTTATTAACTACAATCCAGTCACAATAGATTCAGAAAGCCTTCCGAATTGTTAATAAATTCCACTTCCACAATTTTTATGTCAAAACAAATTTCAGGCCCTGGGGTGTACCTACTACCACAGTCATGTGTTTAACGCCAATGTTATTTTTCAGGTTCGACCCTTGGAGTTTACTCATGGCATTTAAGAAGAAAGCCTTGTTTTTGGGAGCTGATTATTTAAACGCTGAATTGGAGAGTTTTGATTTCAAACAAGAGCCTTTTGTCTTTGTTGACACGGCCCCTGTTGGTGAATATGTTGGACTCAACAAGGCAACTGTGAGTTTTATTTGTATATTGTGTAAATATCTCTACAACACATAATTATAAGTACTTTCTTGATAATTAACCAGTTTGTAAATTACAAGGCAAATCTGTGTTTCGGATTCCACAATAAACTTTAGGTCCCTTAGTTGCCATTGGCTGTTTGGGCTATTAATTAACAGTCCTATCTAAGGAACATGTCGACCTTAGTCAGTAACAAGACAACAAGATGGCGCCACTCATCTCCATTCATACTTGGCTTAAAATACCTACTTTCGTATTGTCACCATTTCACTTAAAAGTTTTAAAAGTGTTCAAGTATTATTATTTCCTATTTAATTAACACTAATTTTAATGAGTACAGTACTTAGGTTTGCTGCTACTGGGGAGGTATTGAGGTGTGTTTTTTCATTGAAATGTAGACAGCTTAGTATGAAATAAACAAAATTGGCAAATTTGATGAAAGTATATCCATAAACAAGCAAACTACATCAGTTTTATTCTCCATAAGAATAACATGAGAAGTTTAACATTTTTTGAATTATCTCGGTAACCTTTAGGCATACAACTACGCTTCAATATACAAAATATATCTTTTTAAGCTCTAAAAAATGGTTTGGAAAGAAATTGTGAGATTTTGCTTGCTACAGTTGTACAAAATTTAATCAAAATTGGATCATATTTGCTTGAGTTATTGCGCTAACAGATATATATATATATATGAACTGGAACGGAGGGTGTTTTTGGCCTCAGGGGACCTCATAACAAAAAGTAAATCGGTCCCAGGTCTAGGTCTAGGTCCCCCCATCGATGTATAATAACTCCCTGGATTGCACGCTGAGGTTGAAGTAGGGCTCGAAAAACGGTCCGCCGCTTCCTCGCTCTGTCCGCGAGGAGTGGGGATAAAAGGCATGAGTCACCCTAGTGCCGAGCGTCGTGCCCGCTCTCGCCGTGTATTGCTATGTTAGTTTTGTGAACATATTACAGTAAAATTTATTATAACGAACTTAAGGAGGTTTGTAAACAGATATAATTAATCTAATTACTTGCTCACACTTTACAGACTATGCATCACAAGTAAATCTCAGAAGAAATTTAGTGATGTTATGAAAGAGTTAGATTTATTTATTTGAACATTGGTCAGAACAAAATATCACAATAATTATTCTATTACATTCAAGCTTGTCATCATTTGCTGCTGTGAGCCCCAATTATTATTCAGAGACTTGGCAACATGTAAGAATATACATTTTGGTTATATTACAGTATGTTTCTTTTTCATACGTGTATGTAAAATATATTATATGTAAATAAAAGGAGTGTATAATATTTTATGCTAATATCTCCAATTCATTGGTTATTCTCAATAAAGTAAAATAATTGCAAAATATTTTCTCACATTAATAATAAATACTGTGAATCAAAAATGTATTCTTTGATTCAACGATTTTTTTTAAAACTATAGACTACGGTAAGCAAAAAATTCATAAATATACGCTTGTAAATTTAGTTACCCATCCTTCATAATGTAATGACATATTTAATGTGTATAATGATAATTAAATGCCAGAAACTCAGTACTGTATCTAAATCCCGTAAACTGATGCCTAGCCGGCCAAACTCCTAGCGCCAATGTCGCGCCAAGCGATTTCATGCCTACTTTTAATCGCTTAAAAATGATAGAAGCAAACTCCGTATTGAAAAAAGCTTCAAATAAAAAATAAAATGCATACTTTAATCTAAAACTTTGCCGCAGGAATTTTTTTCCTGACCAAAAAATAAAAAAGTTCCTCGCTTACTACATTTTTTGTGTTTTTAGTTGTGTTAAAAAACGATCATCAGTTTTTATTTGCCTAAATAAATTATAAAAAATATGTTTAGGTTAACACAAACTATACATTAAAAAGCACTGTCTTTTCCAGAAAATAAAAATAAAAATTTGAAATTTTTACGTTGGCAAATAAGTGAAGCAGGGCAGGTTGAGTGAAAGTATGTTTGTGTAAAAGACAGTGGTACATAGGGCCCGTCCACCTCGGTATCCCACCAATTTGACTGGTGGGCACGGACCGTTTTTCCACCACACAGCGCGCTATCCAGTAGAGTTATTACGTTACTAAAACATTTTTACTGCATTTTTAAAGGTTAAGCTGCCCAGTGGGGAGAAGAAGCAGATTGAATTTTCCCAGCTGATTATTGCTTCAGGATATCATTCAGGACAAGTCGGCAAACTGGCTAGGATGGGGGAAGGTTCAGGGTACTTAGAACTGCCTATCCCCGTTGAACCGAGGTTTGTGTCGCTGTTAAGTTTCTCAATTCTCTTATTCTTTTAATGCTATCTCTATTTTGCTGTTGACTCATTTTCTTTTATATATGATTTTTATATATGAGATGATTTAATACCTAACAAGATAACCTGTAGATTCCAGGTTCCATAGTGTTAAATAAGTTTGATCAGCTATCAGATTAGTTAAATTTTTTGAACAATGTCTCTAGGCCACAGTTTTTAATTGTAAAATAAAGAAGATTTGAACTAGCTTACCTTAGAAGTACAGGTAGGCCATACAACAAACAGAAGCATATAAAACACACAATATTCTTCCTCCAGGAGAGAAAATATTGTGTTTTATGCTTCTGTGTGTTATTGCCTACCTGTACTGTACTTCTTGTAAGGTAATTTTGAATTGTAGAATAAGGAGGGTTGCAGCTAGCTTACCTTAAAGAATTGTAGGTAGGCCATAGAGATACACTGAACAGACGCTACTTTTACAGATATACTATATAACCATAATATTGATGAATAGAATTCAGTTTGAAATGATATGCAATTAGCACATACTACATAATCTATACACTCTCACTAAGCGATAATGTGAATTGTAATTTTAAGGTTTATCTAAGTTAAACTTTTTTTATTAAGTTTTTTAGTTTTGCTAGTTTGGTTATTTGGTTTCTACTTTATTTGTACAGTTTTCTTGCTGTAATCTGTAATTTTCTTAGTGGGTAGATTAATAAGGGTTAGGAAACAAAATCTAATTTAGTATTAGTATGTATATTGATTTTATCGACAAAGTGATCAAAATCACTTCCATAATATTACATACCTACTTAACTACTATGAACTATGTATGACATAGTTAGGTTTTTGTTTTTGATGTTTTCTAACATTCAAAACTTTTCAGAAAGCGATATGTATATTGCTTCCACTGTCCCGACGGTCCTGGGCTGCAAGCTCCTTTTTTGATCGATCCAAGTGGAATGTATTTCAGGTAAAACTCGTAACATCACAAATAAATTACTTAATAAGTATTTTTAATTTCAAATTCTCAACTCTATTTCCATTTTGAACGTGAATATAATCACCATTTTTTGTAGGTACCTAATTCTTCCATTGTGTAGTTCATTCATATTTGTTAACTACTGGTTGGTTTGTAGTTTTACTGATTGGAGAGGTTACATAACTGAATGATGAGACGCCCATTTGGCTTTGACTCGATAGATAAAAGTTGAAGACTAGTCAACTGGCCTTGACAGCATTTGTTTGTTGTGATTAATTAATCGTTTTCATTGTAACAAATTGGATTTACTCATTTATATTTTTCAGTGGGCTAGATCTTTATTTTTTAGTGGGAACAGTGTTCCACTTTTAGCTCACAGAAAGTTACAGATAAATTTTATTTACAAATTTTGATAATATTATGTTAGTTGATCGTCAAAACTGTTGGGTTAATGGTGTAGAGTATACGAGTAAATTTTAGAAATCAAGCTTTCATTGAGGAAAGAATAAATCTAATCCGCGTGACCTTTGATTGTTTATTGTTTTTACTGAATTTGTAAAAAGCTATGAAGTTTTTTGTGCAAACAAAACTATTATAGATAGGCCATAATAGATAGTTTTTTTTTAAAGAGGTTGGTGATCTCTTTTAACCTTGCATTTGCCCGTCCACATAGACTACAGATCTGTGCGTGGAACGTATCCAGCAAAGAACGGGGTGAGCCAGTACAGTACAAAGGTGAACTGTACTGATAAATTTTAGTAGCATTGACCAGGATCCGAACCCACGACATCACTGCCTTGGGCCCGAAGTCCATGACGCTACCAACTGAGCCACCGACTCACCACTTTACCATTATGTCAGATATAATATTTCCTATTATATGTTGGTTTTGGTTTTCAAACAATCCGTTAGCACAATAACTTGAGTAAAAATAAAAATCACTTAATTTTGATAAAATTGGTACAAAAATGTTAAGCTACATTTCTTTGAAAGAGTTTGCAAAACAGCAAGACCGGACAATGGGAACAGGGTTTTATGGGGTAATAATGTCGTTTTCCCATTCTTGACCTTCAAAACATAAAACGTTTCAATTTCTTACCAATCTATTTTGAGTTTAAGGAAACAATAATTTAGTGTACTGAAGCGTTGCTGTACGCTAAAGGGTTACAGAAAAAAATTTTAACACTTCAAATTTAAAATTCCTATCATAAGTAAACGGTTGTAGTTTGCTTGTTTGTGGATATACTTTGATAATATTTGGCAATTTTTACATTTTTTAATAAATTATTTATAACCTACCTATAGAAGCAAACCGAAGCACTAATTAAACATAAATGTATTTAAAAAAGGTATAAATCTGACACTTTTTAAGGAAATATTTGAGTGAAAATTGAATAGGGCAAATGGAAATTTGCTTAGCCATAAAAAAAATTAGGTTTTCTGGGGCGTAGGTACTTAATTTGATTCCACTTTGCAGGAGGGAAGGTTTAGGTAACAACTACATCTGTGGCCGATCCCCCGACGCTGGCAAAGAACCCAGCTGTGATAATCTTGACGTTGACTACAACTTTTTTGAAGAAGAAGTCTGGCCTTATCTCGCCCAAAGAGTTCCTGCTTTCGAAAATATTAAGGTAATTACTTTGTTAAATTCAATATTTAAATTTAAATTTTGTTCATCGGCAAGGCCGTATTTATAATCAATGAGGCTTCCGACAGCTCTCACCAGAGAGGCCTCTCTATATTCTGATTCTTCAAAGGTTGGAACTTTACGGTTTGGTAATACACATGGTATGGCTTTAACTCGATCGATGATTTGACCTTTTGTTTCCAAAAATCCGATCAGCAAAAAGACCTAGCTAATAAATAAGTATATCAATTTTTTTAAATAATAATTTTGGGGTCTTAGGTCAGGGCCAGACATTTTTCATTTCTTCCGGGTTGTGTCAAAAATGTTTACCTTTAGGCAAATGATCAAAATTGGGTAGTTTTGGAAATAATTATTTAAAATACCGGGTGCGGCAAAAGTCAGTATACCGCTGCAGGCCGGTGAGCGTCATTGTTTATCTCTCACGCTATTATTATCTCAGTGTTATTCCTTATCTAATCTGACGTCTACTCATGGTTGATTTTGTCTTTGTTTATTCTTTATCGATGAATGTTTGTTTTGTTAGTATGCCACTAGTGAGAGTGAAGTTGGTAAGTGTAGTGCTTGTATTATTATATTCTATTATTGGTGTTTTTAATCATGAATCGTAAACTAACTTTAGAGCAACGAGTTTTTCTTTTGAAAAATTGGTGGAAATTCGATCGTGATTATACGGATGTTAGATGTGTTCTTAGAGTTGGAAAACAGTCCCACTTTTGAACAGTTGCGTCGTCGTTCGATTATTTGGCAGCAAGACGGAGCACCTCCACACTATGGCCTAAATGTTCGAGCATTTTTAAATGATAACTTCGATGAATGGATAGGACGTAGAGGAACTATTGAGTGGCCTGCTAGGTCCCCAGACCTAACTCCGTGCGATTTCAGTATGTGGGGTTTGTTAAAAGAACACGTGTTTTCGGAGAAACCTCAAAGTTTAGAACATTTAAAAGAATTAATAACAAAACATTTTGATGTTTTATTCACACCACAACTATGCAACAAAATCTGTAAGTCAGTGTTGAAAAGGTGCTACAAGTGTATAGACAATGATGGTGGTCACTTTGAGCAGCTTCTCTAACAGGTACATTAAAATTATACTTTTATAGTTATGTTTAATGCTAGCTACAGTTTAACTGCTTTTTCGGTATACTGACTTTTGCCGCACCCTGTATATTAATTGATATACTATAATCGGTTTATAAAATATCTGTAATCGCAGGAAAACTGTAAACGTCTTCTTTGCTCACAGTAAAATCGTCTGCCGCAATAGTGAAGACATCATCTTTGTCTTCTGCGACCGCATAGAAATCATTAATGTCTCCTATGGCCGTGGATAAATAGTTAACAAAGCGAGCGCAGGGATGTCATATTCGTCTCCTCTGTTCATGGTGAAATCATGAACGATTCATGGGGCCGCGGAGAATTAGTTAACATCTTGCGCGAACGTGGAGACATTGTCTTTGTCTCCTTCTATCATGACGAAATCATGAAGATCTTCCGAGTTTGCGGGGTCATGATCTTCGACTCCCGCAGTTGCGATAAAATCCTGGACATCTTCCGCAATTGCGGATAATTAGTGACAACTTTAATGTTAACGGCGAAATAGTTCAACCCGCGATCACGGCGTAACAGATTATCGGTGAAATAAATTTATTTATAAAATGCGAGGCCCCCTCCTAGGCCGAGGGGTTGCCGGGGTGCAACCTTAATTGTTAATTTCAAGAAAGTAGTAAAAAGAAGGTGAAAGAAGGTAGGTGGCTGGGAAAAAAGTTTAACAATAGCAAGAGTGGTAAACAACAATGCCAGAATGCGTCAAGAATGAATTATGTGATGGTGTCATGGTAACTTTCAGTTTAGGTAATGTATAACCACTGTCAACTGAATTTTCAATTTGAAATTATGAGTTAAGTTAATAAGTGTCATAAATATATTTTACTTCCAGGTGAAGTCAGCATGGGCTGGATTTTATGACTTCAACACATTTGATGAAAATGCCTTTGTTGGACCCCATCCGTCCTACAACAACGTGTTCATAGCTACAGGATTCAGTGGTCATGGTTGGTTAATAGTTTAGTCACTATTTCATGATGGGTTAGCCTTTGGATCAAGATATTGCAAGATTTAGATTACCTGGTGTGTCAATTGAACCTTTTAATAACTACAGCTGTTTCGTGCTGCTAAGAGCACATCTTCAGGTTAAGAACGTAAAAATCCGTTTTCTCATCCATGAATTACTAAGTCTTCTGGGAGACAAAACAGAAAACACATACGAAAACAATGTTTATATAATACAAAAAAAACTTGGTCACGTCGTCCGAACACAAGGTGCATAACCGGTTGATGATGAGTCATGACTGACCTGTGTCTGAAGTTGCAACCCCCCCCCCTTCTCTCTCCTTATCTTGGAGAGACACAGGTAACCTAAACCTTTTTAATCTTTGTCACTATGTTAGTCAGTCAGATAAGGTGAGGTGTCGGACTAGCTAAGGACGGAGAGTGGAGTTGTACATGATGGTAATATTGTCTCCAGATAACCAATAAATACTGAAGATGGTGTATATCACCTGATTATTGTCATCCACAAATTGAAAATCCTAGTTTTGGTACCAAAAGTAGCTACTGAGTGCAATTTGTAAATTACCACAAGCAGATTATGCCAAGTTTTAGCAGTGTTTTGACTTTTAAGTGTAATTTATGGCTTCAGTAACGATGAAAACCACTTGTACTTTACTGAAACTTTGGTTGAATTAAATAGGAAATGAAAGTCTTTAGTTTAGATTAGGTTCTCGTTCTCCATAATTAATATCCAGTTTGCTTTTGTCTGGGTTTAAACCCTTAAAAACTAATTATATGTTAGCCTACCAAAAAATGTCCATACAACTGTTTAAAAAGTTAAGACTAAAAATATTGACTGGTTGCCAAAGTAGTTGAAAATGCTTCTATTGAAAACTATAATCAGTGGCGGTTCCAAGGGGGGGGCTACAGGGGCTAAAGCCCCCCCCCTTGGACCCTGGAAAAATAAATTTAAACGTACGTTTCGTCCTTAAAACACGCAATGTCATAAAACAGACATCAATGTAGTTTTTATTAAACTTAATAAGCGATGGCAGGAGTAGTATTAAGTTGCACATAGATAAACTTTGTGGACACTAGCACAAAAAATAAAACAATATTACGCTATGGAAGGTTTTAGCCTACGCATCATCCAATTTTTACAGCAGTCAGCTGTTGACATGCTAGGGCAAAGGCGAGCACTGAGCGAGGACGGTGAAACAGCTGATTTCCTGATGTTCCATAGTTAGTTGTTAAATTGTCTGCTAGCCACTAACTTTACACAGGCATCAATCAGCAATCAGCGGAAGCACCAGTAGCCTATTACCATTGACTATATAAAAATTAGTGTTAAGTTTATATAGTCAATACTATTACTGAATTCGATACTATACATATTGTGACAGATCTATGAAATGGAGAAAAACGTAAGGTTGAAAAAACGTGACCTACTTGCTTGCTTGACATATAACAGGTGAAATTTAAGGTTTTATGACAATTGGGCACAGTTCTAGACGTTAGAAATGGCTTTGTAAAGTCACCAAACGGCTTTTAGGAGATATGGCTTTGTATTCTACAGTAGGCCTATGTTTTGAAATTCATGAATGCAAGTTCAACATAGTTTGATTTTTTAAATGCCTACTTACTCATGACAAAGACAAATAACAGGTGAAATGGGAGGTTTTTGGACAGTTGGACACAGATATAGACATTAATAATGGCTTTAGAAAGTCAGTAAACAGCTTTTAGGAGGATATGGCCGTTGCCTACAATATGTTTTGAGATTCATGAATGCAATCGTCATAGTTGGTTTTAAAAATGTCTGATTTTTCATGCCAAATAAATGGGTAAATTTGTGGTTTTGCACACAGTTCTAGACGTTAAAAATTGCTTTAGAAAGTCACCCAACGGCTTTTAGGTGGATATGGCCGTAGTCTACAGTGTGTTTTGAAATTCATAAATGCAATCGTCATAGTTTAATTTTTTAAATGTATATTTGCTCATGACAAACAACAGGTGAAAGGGAGTTTATGGACAATTGGGCACGGTTTCAGGTGTTAAAAATTGCTTTAGAAAGTCACCAAACGGCTTAGAAAATTCAAAATTTTCCCGCGGGAGGACCCCCGGACCCCCCTGCTTTATTGGTGGGTGCTCCACACCCCCCAAGCCCCCCCTTGACAAGGTCCTAGAACCGCCACTGACTATAATCACCTATTCTGTAAATCTGTAGACGAAATTTCAACCTTTTACATGCAAACCTCCTTTTAGGTTTATGTTAACAAATAGCAGGTGATGTTCTTAACAACAGCTGACTTTCATTTTCATCACTTGTTACAACAATGCAACGGCTTGTTACAGGGCTTCAGCAGGCCCCAGCGATCGGTCGAGCCATGATGGAGCTCATTGTGGACGGACGTTTCACCACGATTGATCTTACGAGGATGCAATTTGAGAGGATCTTTCATGAAGAGTACCTCTTGGAGACAAATATTGTCTGAGAGTTTGTGTTGTAGGAAAGTATAGTTGTGGACTTGTTGCTGTACTGAACCGAAACCCTTGGTAAGACTTGCTCCCCATCCCCAGTTTCATCAACAATACTGCCTTACTGTAGTGAAAAAGTGTCGCGTAACAGTTGTACAAGTTCAGTAAAATGTTATACTTAAGAGAAGGCACTACTTTATCAAGATATTGTTGCCAGATTTGACCTTAAACAAAAAACCTCCCATATACAATCTACATCTCTCTACATGTTGAAAAGTCATTGGCTAGTAGTTAAGTTCTTATTGCTTGTTAATGATGAACTAAAGTTACCATTTTGCCTTATAGCCTGCCTCTAAAAGTGACCCAAAATATGCATTTCCTCTATACACATGGAAAATACAAGGTAAAAACTTGGATGACTGTTACAGTCCATACCGCAAAACAAAGAGCTTTTTAGGTATATAAGTCCAATCCTCATAATTTGTGAGGCTGACAAAATATAAGTGAAACCTAAAAAGATATGTAGCCTAACTGTATCTTTCTTGATTTTTTATACTAGCCCTTGATTTTTGTTGCCATATTTATAAGTTTATGAAATTGTAAATAAATTTATATAGTTTATTTTGTGATTTATATTCATTTTCCTTCACATTAGAGTCCATCTCTTCACTTTAAAAAAATATAATTTAAATTCCTCATTTAAAATCAGTGTAGAAAGAGACCTTTTTTCTAAAATGTTTCCTAATGAATGATGAATTATTCTTTGTAGGTAAGAGTACAGTGTGAAGAAGTTGGACGTTATAATTTTTGGCGGGTCATAGAAACAATGCAAATTTGTTACCAAAGAACAACTTTATTTTTACGTCAATTTACGACAAATAATTGATTACTTCTTTGGTGAATGATGTCTGGTGTGTAGAATTACTTTTATGCATAAAATTATGCTTTGATGGGTTATTTCTTCTTTTAATTCTATGTAGGCCTACACAAAATGAAAACACAAAATCAAATTACTTACTCTGTTTAAAAAAAACATAATTAAAACACTGCAAGTTATGTCACAAAATGAAAACACAAAATCAAATTACTTACTCTGTTTAAAAAAAAATAATTAAAACACTGCAAGTAATGTCTTTGTATTTACGTCATGTATTTACGGATTTCAACACTTTCAAGTCAATTTTATTTCGTGATTCGTCCATCTCAAGACTGACCGAGACACTATTAAACACTGCACGGAAAGTCTTATTTTACATATTTTTCCATGAACTTTCTGTGGAACTCTGACCGAAGTGAGTCGTTGATGAATGTATTCTTGCTCTTCTCCGGCTCGGATCGAGCACAGTTCTTGAACACAACGTCATCGTCCCACCGACGTTTCACCTGAAAATAAACGTGAACATGAATTACAAATTTTCAGCAAAAGTATAATTATAAATTTAATATTTTAAAAGGTATATTATAGATTTAGAATCGACGAAAGTCGGTTGGGCATTGACCTATCATAATAATCAGAGTTGATGGCCACTGAAAAGTTGCAAGATATAATTAAAGAAAACAAAAACTTAAAATTCTAAAAATTGTGCATCAGTTACATTTTTAAAGCAACTGATTTGAAGAGAAAATGTAAATCTTGAAACAACAACTAATTTAAGCTCTAAAGAAGCACACTTCTCGGGCAATTAACCTTTTCCAATTAAACTTAATCTCTATTGTGTTAATCTTACCTATTTGGCAAGTACAGTGGCCCCTCTGGATGAACTGTAATTCGGATTGACATATAAAAATACAGGACAGGTTTTCTGCCCTAAGTTCTGTTACCGTTCTTATCACAATAGTAAAATAGAATAGTCCATGTAGTGTTTACTCCAGGTTTAAGTTTGTTATGAGCTGGACATTTTTGGACAAAATTTAGAGAGTGGTTGTAGGCCTACAATCTAGTAAGTAATTATACAAATAAAGTAATGATAATAGTGTGGTTAAATTCAACCTCCTGTTTGTTTTTTCTAACAAAGTAAAAGAGACTGGTTATCATTCAACGGTACAGTAAATTCACTGAAAAAAGTTTTGTTATAAACTCTCTGCAAACTTATAACTGCTGTAGAAATGATAATGCTGCATACTTTTACTGTCAGTTGATTCTATTAGGTTATCTGATGATAGTGGTCCTGTGAGGGTTTACTGTATCTACACAGATGCTTATTAGCCTAGTGTGTTGTAATTAACCAGTTATACGATGGGAGAACAAAATAACCCGAATGGCCATACGTGGAGCTTAGCTCCACATGCTAGTATGTTTAGCTAGTATGCATTTCAGGCGCTAGGCGTGTATAGTGCAACTCATTGCCATTGATGCAGGCCAGCCGGATGGTTGTGTTCATCTGTAGCGACAGTTTTTGCTGGCACCATTTTTCTGTTTCATTTTTTGCGATCACAAGGAATGAAACCTGTTCCCATGTTAAAAACATCTTACAAAGAAGACATTATTTATTGCTTGTTATCTCCCGTATGTAATGGTATTATTGTACAATGGAATAAATTAATTGAATTAAATTGAATTTACACCCCAGAAACAAAGAAACTCTCAAGCCAATGGAAGACGCCATTATCATCCCTCCAAAAAACAATGCTGCGTTGTTTTTTGATGTCATAGGAATTGTCCACTCAGGGTTTGTTCCCCTAGGTCAGACCATGTATAAGATCTTCTATTTAGAAGTTTTATGAAGATTGTGCAACAGTGATCAAAAACCCCTGATCTGTGACAGACAGGAAACCTGTTATTCTGCCATGACAATGCACCTGCACACAGAGCCATACATTTTTTGCTCTTTTTGGCTAAAAATGAGACGATTGTGCTGACCTGGCTCCATGTGACTTTTTTTTCATCCATGTATGAAAAGAGGCATGAAAGGACAATGATTTGACACCTTTGAAGATACTGTTACTGTTGTTCTGTTCAATGAAATGGCGACCATACATAGTAGATATTTTAAGCCAAGTATGAATGGAGATGAGTGTAGGATGAGTGGCGCGATCTTGTAGTCTTGTTAGTGACTAAGGCTGACATTCCTTAGACACAGCTGTTAATTAATAGCCCATACAGCTAATGGCAACTAAGGGACCTACAGTTTATAGTGGAATCCGAACCACAATTTTCCTTGGATATCAAGAAATAACGAGAGAGGAGCTGGTAGCCATCTCAAAATATTACTTCAAAAATTGTTTCTAACAGTGAAAAACCCGTTGGGACAAGTCCATATTGTCCCATGGAGAGTATTTTGAAAAGGATAATGTTGAAGTGTAAATAGGCTATATTTGTATTTATTAAAAAAAATCCAGACCTTGAAATTTTGACTGAAATCAATAAGTTTGTTCAAACTTACCTTAAGATCAGATTTAGTTGCTTGCGCAGAGTAGTTCAATAGTGGGTTCCCACTCAATATGTTCTCCATTCTGATCCTTTCCTCTTCCTGTCGCCGCTCCGTTTCCTTACGCAGAGTCTCCAAGGCTCGCTCCTTCTTGATGCGCGCCAGCTCAGCTAGCAACTGTGCGGTGTCGTCGTCACTGTCCCCGTCATCAGAGTCATCCTCGTTCAACGGATCGTCAGCGTCCAAACTTGCTGCAGGTACCTGATCTAGCTTCAGCCGCTTATTGCTATAAAAATTTACATGTGATTATTTTGATCAAATTTTGTTTATTGTCATTAATGTCAAAATTTTGAAAACTTTTTACACCCACTCTTAAAGTGTACACTCAGTGTAAAAGGTTAGAGGAACTGACTACATTGAATAAACAATGATTAACATCTTCAGACAACAAATAAATCAGCTGATTAGTTTGTAAACAAGTACGTTGACTTTCACCACAGCAAAAAGGTTTGGGTTTTTTGTGTGAATTTTTAAGACAGTAAAAAGGTGTGCAATTTTTAAGCCATCCTAATACAGTAATAGATAGGCTAATTGATAAAAATACAGTTTTGGGGTTATGTAATATTTTATTATTGTTTAAAATAATCTAAAATCCCTGAAAAATAACTTGCAAAGAGGACGGTGATTGTTGTATTGTTGGGGCAGACTTAAGCCGTATGCCTCATGTATGTTGTATGCACTTCAACTAATCTCCAGCGGTCATGTATTACTAAAGCTGCCATATCTCAGTTAATATTTGTCCAATATTAATAAATAAGGTGTCAATTGATTTGTAATTAAATTGCCTGAAAAAAGTTGTTCTTGTAAAATTTTGTTGAAATCAACAGTTTTTAAGTTATTTAAGAAACAAACATTTTAATGGCCGCCATTTTGTTTCATGAATTTTAATTTTTGTCCTAATTTTTCTAAAACTTTGTCTAGTTGCCAAAAATGTTTGTGCAAAGTTCCAATTTCCTACATTTAACCATTATGTAGGAAAAAAATTGATGAGTGGAAAAAAACAAAATGGCGGCTGTGTGAGTAACCAAGGACTTCCGGACAATTTAAATATGATATTTAGATACCTATGATTCTTACCCGGGAACAATGCCCTAAAATATTGGTAGGGAGTTCTGAAACACCCTGTATTTTGAAACATTTATAACACCATTAGGCCTACACCCCATTCTCTTTAACAAATCTTGCTGGTTCATGAACTCATTCAAGTTCATCCAGCCCAACACATTCATGCCAAATTCCATCAAAATGGGACCAAGATTAAGCACATTTAGGCTAGTGTTTTTGGCCTCTGGGAAGATTGAAATGAAAAATTAGGTACCTAAATCGGTCCCAGGTCTTAGTCTTAGCCAACCTCCTAAAGACATTCAGGGGATCTGGAATCCGAACCCATCCTCATGTGAGAACGTAGAAGTGTAACTTTATCAAATCAAATCAAATCCATTTATTGCCATCAACATTATAAATACATGTATAGCAACGTCATACAATTTCATCACAGTATATCCATTAACCTACTTCATATGTTCTACAAATTCTTTGACCTTATACACACATAAATCACACAAAATCTTTCTAATAGTAAATTTAAATTGTCGTATTTCAAGACATTTAATGTGAGCAGGTAACATATTATACAATCTTTTGCCAAATTCACTAAAGTTATTGATTGTGGTCATAAAATTACATTGGTTTGGACGGAGAAAAGTGTTTTGTCTGGTAAAATGGTTATGAACTGAATCATTTGTAGGGAAATCTCTAATATTATTTTTAACATACAGTAAACAATCTAAAATGTACAGAGAAGTGACAGTTAAAATTCCAAGTTTCTTGAATAATGGCTTACAATGTGTTTCACTGTCAACATTGAATATTGTCCTAACGCTTTCTTTTGCAGCAGTTTCAGCTTTTTAATACTACCATAATGGCCCCACACAACAATACTATAAGACAAATGACTTTGAATGTGAGCAAAATAAATGGATTTCAACACATCTATACTAACAAAAGGTCTAAGTTTTCTAATCATAAATCCAATCTTATAGGTTCTACGACCTTGATTACGAGGCTTGATTACGAGAAAGCGAAGGCTACTATTGCAATATAACAATGCATGAATGCATTGATCTTCAGAATATTAAAATTAAAGTGGTCGGTTTTTTTTTTAAATCCACATTATAAAACATATTTTTCTACTTACGAATCTCTGGGTTCAGGCATGCGCCGACCTCCCCTCTCCTTTTCTTTCTCACGTTCCTCCAATTCCCTTCTGAAGTCACGACCACGCAGTTCATCAGTTGTACCTTGCCCATGTTCTCTGTAAATCATACATACTCCCTCAGATGACTTTACAAAATAATAGATTTTAGGCCATGCTGATCTATATAAAACCTACATTACCGTATTATCAAAGACTACCAAAGTTTAAAAGTTAGCCCAACTGTACAACAACAAAAAGTTTACTACTGTGTGTAATTATAAATTAGAGAGGGGTAGCCAAAATTATTACTAAAAACTAGCAGAGAAGGGGTTGACGTATAAGTATAAAATTCTTATTGCAGTTATACTCATGGTTCACGTTTGCAATGGAGAGGACACGGTCTAAGAAAATTTGGTTCTTTAAATTATCGCCACGCTGTAGTATAACACACCTACCATAGCCATTATGTACTTAAATAATAGAAAAAAGTTAACTATCAATCATTCGCGCAATACTAGGTCCCTTAGTTGCCATTAGCTGTATGGGAATTAATTAAGAGCTGTGTCTAAGGAATAAGTCGGCCTTAGTCACTAACAAGACTACAAGATCGTGTCACTCATCCTACACTCATCCCCATTCATACTTGGCTTAAAATACCTACTTTGTATGGTCGCCATTTCGTTAAAAAGTAGGCCTATTAAAGTATTAAGTAATACCTATCACAAATTATTTATTAAGTTAAAAACATCTAGACTATATTACTTATTTAATACGCAAGCAGTTTTTTTGTGACAATCATAACACTTTTTAATGTGTGATTGAACTTCAAACAAACAAATAAACACACAAACTTTCACATTTATAATATCAGTAAGGTTATATAGTATATTGGTATGATTTTATGTAGACCTATCAAATTTTGGGTACCAAAGGCCTATAGCAGTGATTCCCAATCTTTTTTTACATCGTGGCACACTAAATTGATCCAAATTTAGTTACGGCACACTTGATTAGCGCATACCAGTATTTAAATATACAAGTAAATATGTTGCTCAAAATCAAGCAAATGAGTAACTTACCTATGCCTAATTAGAAAAAGATATAAAAAAAAAAAATTTAAAACCAAAAGTAAGTTTAATAGTTTAGAAAAATTAGAGGTGATTTTATCGGCCTAATACTGACATTCACGTGTATTGTGTTTTCCAAAGCCAACATGGCCAACTGATAAATTGTGTAACTCTATCCAGCCGTTTGCTTAAAACTTATATTTATTTCCCAATGCTAATATTATGGGGGGAAATCAAATTTAAGAGGCCCTCGGATGTCACTCACAAATTATTACCATTTAAACAAATCGTCTGCACAACTTCACATTTTCACTCTTTCCAATGACACAAAAAACATGACAATCAGTTTAGGAGGAGTGATTGTTGACCTGCTCGCCTATTAAAAAATTGTTTTAAACTTACTTAGATATAGTAATATTTGCATTGCATTGTGAAACAAAAAAAAATATTGTTCGGGTGCAGTTTCTTAACTGGGCTATGCTAATATTCGATTGAAACTATTGATTGGATTAGTAAACCTTTATTCGTTTTTTCACTATCAGCAAGTTTGGTTAGTTAGGTTAGGTTATGACGGTTTAATTTTATAATTTATACAGTTTAAAATATCAATATTTAATCAATATTTTCAATTTGATAGTTTCCATTGATATTAGCATAACCCAGTTAAGAAACTGTACCCCGTTGTTTACATTTTTAAGTCACACTGTGCTGTTTATCTCTCTGTATATAGTTGGGAAAATAAACAGTAAGTTATTGTCGGAACTCTCAAGCTGCCTAGTCCAAGAGTAAAATTGTTATCCACATAGGCCTATCCAAGTAATAGGTAATCATTCCAAGTGTTGCAAACAGTTTACGGCACACCAACGGAACACTGCGGGTTGGGAATTGCTGGCCTACAGCCTAGGGTAATTAATTAACTTGTTGGCGTTCAGAAAGTTACCTGAAAAACAAAATATACATCTAACTTAATTACACTTGTAATAATATGTTTACACTTCCATATATGTTGGCACAAACAACCGAATGAAAATATTGATCGATGTATCGATTATTCGATATATTGTTTGGTTAGTTAGATAAGGTTAACCTAACCTAACTAACCAAACGATATATCGAATTAAACAATCAAATAATCAATATTACTCATTCGGTTGTTTGTGCCAACAGATATGGAAGTGTACCCGTTTACACTTATAATGTTGACTCACAAGACGGTAGATAGGCCTACATACCTAGGCTATACATGTAATGATGGTAAGTGGTGATGGAATCTTCTTTAGGGGCTAGGAGGATAGGACCAAACAATTTATCCTAGCCTACTGTAGTCTACCTTGGCGTTTAAGGTTTCCCTTTTAGTGATATTTAATGATTCACACATGAACACGATTGATGGTTAGTAAATTTATGATCAAGCAAAAGGACAAGGCTAACTGCAAATTCTCTAAGCCTTTGATTTTAACTTAAGTCCTGTTTCTCTAAAATGTGAGGGATACTTGTATTTTAACTTACCTGAATTTGAGTTTTGTGTGTCCAGGTAAATCTCTGCTTGAATATTGTTTTGAGATAGCACTCAAATCCTTTTCACCTCTTCCTTGTCCACCCCTGGCAGGTTCAAATGTAGGCCTCGCAGCAGTTGTCATTTTGTTATGTGTTTCCTTTTACTTATTACAAAGGAACGAAGTTGATGCTATATAGTAGGGTAATCAAGCTTACAAACAATCTAAGCTACACCGAAAATACAGTAGGCTATGATTGTTTTGCAATAATGATAACTTTTTAACCAACGTTATTTAACCTCATTTCACCATTCAAACGTTCAATGGTTCAATCCGAACAGTCGATTATTTTATTTTGACATTATTAATTTGACTTGACAGAAGACGAAAAGAAGAAAGCAGTAAGCACGAAACAGAGACATACACACAGTGTTGCCAATCCACTATGGCCCAATTACCCCCTCCAAAGCAAAGAATTACCCGCTTTTTCTAAAAATTACCCTCAAGAAACCAAAAATTCCCTTTTAACACTCTTGCCTGTCTAAAAGTAACGAATAAAAACCCTGATAAATTAGTTTTGAGTAATCCCACAAATTAAGAGTATGTTTTATCTATGGATATAGTAAAGAACTAAATATAGGACTTGAGACTTGTAATTAACCTTCATAATGAAATTTGCAATCTTACTGACCTTAAAAAAATAATTACATTAGTCCTACAATGATTTGGTTTTTTTATGATAGCCTATGTCATATACTTGTTTAATAATGAGTAAGTACTGTTAAAAATTTTATTTTTTATTAGTTTTAGGGAGAAAATAGTTATTATAACCGATCAACATTATTATTCCCCTGTTTTATGTTTTTCATCTTCTTTAGAAATAGACTAGTACGGTATTTTCCTTTACCATGGTATCAGCGTTGACAGTAGTATAGTGACTAGTGAGAAGTGAGATCAGGATCACGGATCAGGCATTTAAGGCCAGGCAACCAAAAGTTTTTCCACTCCAATCCAAAAGAAAAGACTACAAACAACCGTACTGACTGAAACTGAACCGAACCGAACCGACTGAACGCTGTAGCCTACTCGCATTGACTTTATATCTACACTAGTGACTGAGTGAGAACTGAACCAAACTAATGAAGATTAAGAGAAGTAGTGTAAAACAATAAAAAGTCTGTGAAATAACTTTAATGGAAAAAAAACACAAGGAAATATTTTTCTTCTAGTGAAATAATATAAGTAATAATACGAAAAACAAATAATATTTGATCAGTTGTCATTTACCCGCTTTTTACCCGCATATTTGCCATTACCCGCAGCATTACCCCCAGGTAACTAAATTACCCGCTTTTCGGGTAATTACCCGCTTTTTGGCAACACTGCATACACAGATCAGATACACAGACAGACACGACAGACAGAACAAGTTTGTACGAAGCTAAAAAAAATCATTATTTCAAAGACAACGAAAATAGCTTGTACACGCAAAATAAAATGTATTGGGCAAAGCTAGTTGGTTGGTCTCTATGAGGATTTTAAGAGGAGTTTAAAGTTTTCTACTCTTTAAAATTAGGGGTGTGTGCCACTAGGTTGCCCGCCACAGCTTTAACATTATTTTAAATGGGATCCTTCACACGCAGGCACTGCAGTTGCCTGTCACTACGCAGTGGCCGAACAGTGTTAACTGATAATCCAAGTGTATCCTCTCCTCGGTCCTCGCGCAACTACCAGTCGGCAACCGCAGTGGCAGCAACTCGTCTCGTCGTGGGGCATTGAATTCCTCCTAGTCCTAGGTTAGTATATGATATGTCTTATCTATGGTCTATGCTAGCAACCATAGACAATGTTACCTAATTATATGAAAACTGAACTATGGTAAAATATTACAGATATTACACAATAACACTTTGTACATTTTACACGCATTATATCAGAACATTAATGTGTACTTATTCCATTTCTACAAAAGTCGAGAAAGGTATTTAACCCTGCTTTTTGTTGTGTATTTAGTGATAATACCATAGACTAAACATGTGAGGTTTATTCCCTATTTCAGGAGTGGCGCACTTTTTACACTGGGATTTTAGGGAAAATGAATATAAGTATATTGCCAAATTTTTTATGAGTAGCGCTGAAACCCGTTTTTACTTCATAAATTCTACACTTGAAACATTAAGGCTAATTAAAAAGGTAAGGCTAATTAAAATAGGTAGGGTATTTTCGTCGCATTGCAACAACCCAATGTCAAGATATTGACGCGGCCACGAGATGGAAGACTATATAATATGTTGTTTGTGAAAGATTGCTACGGTCACAGTTCACAGCAGGAGGTGGTTTATTTACTGATCCCAACGGTTTCTCCATTTAATACAGTTTGGTACTAAACCAAATTAACAAGATCAAGATGGCAATAATAATGGCGGTGATGATGTCTTTGCGACCGCTAAGGAATGTCAAGAAGCAAGACTACCGAGGTCACGGGAGGTGACATTGATTGTTTCATGATCGTGCGGTGATTATGCGGTTGTCTTCGCGACTGCGGAGGGATGTCAATAAACTGCCGTTGTTACGGATTATAGTCATGACGTCACCGGTGTCCCATATAATTGGTCCCCCCCCCGTTGACTTTTGAACGGCTGCTTATATCATAGAGAAAACATACTCCCTTATATTCAACGAGCTTCGATAATCGATCCATCGGTAATTTAAAGTACTTTTTGGTGGTATTCTGGAATTCACCCCATCTCCCAAATTGGGGTTGCTGGGGGTAACTTAAAATTTTTAAATGGCACCCCTATCAATTCGCTCATAATTTTAAAGAGCTTTAAAAAAGAAAGTTAATGCCACAAACCTGACTTTGATACGACAAATTTTCAAAAAGTTATGACAAGAAACTTTTAAACACTAATTTAAGTGGAACTTGACATTCCATCACTTATAATTATGTCATGGATGCAAATTTTCAAATAACCTTCAGTACACCACACGAGAGCAGGGTGATGTCACATACCTACCTTTTAACATGAATTGAATTTCACCAACCACCCCCAAATAGGGGTTGCTGGCGGGGTTTTGATTTTGTTGATACCATCACCTTAGGGGTTGGTGAGAAAATTCAAAATCATGGTAAAAAGTTGGAGACATCACCCTGGTCACGTGCACTGAAGGTTATTTGAATTTTGCAAACAATGAAAAAAAATTAAAGTACCAAGAATGTCAAGTTTCAGTTAAATTAACTCTAAAATTTCTTACCATAGCTTTTTGAAAGTTCGTCGTATCAAAGTCGGATTTGCGGCATCAATTTTCTTTTTTGAAGCTCTTTAAAATAATGTGCTACTTGATAAGGGTTGCCTTTAAATTTTAAAGTTTTAGTTCGAACAAAACTCCTATGCGCGGGGACGGGTCGCTACTAGCCAAACTAAAACATACGAGTACCTGTTATGGGCAGAGCTGGGGGTAGGGGTGAGTGAGTAGAGAGACACAAATGTTTTCACAAAAGTACCCCTGCCAACCCCCTTGCCTAGACCCAACCAGATCTGGTCGTGCGTACAGAAACTTGGGCCAAACTGGACCCCTGCAAACCCTATTTGGGTGTAGGGGGTGAATTCCAAAATACCACCAAAAGTACTTTATGTTACCCTAGTAACGCTTGTATCAAAGCTCGTTTGAATATATGCAGTTGTTCAAAAGTTAATTGGGGGGGGGGGGGGCTATAATGTATTATGGGACAGCCGGTATATATTTTCATGGAACAATTTTTAAGGCAGTTAGAAAATAGTTTTTTTCTGAGTGGTAACAGAAAAAAAGTTTAATTTTCTCCAGTCCCAATGCGACTACTTGGTCTTGTGTTTGTCCATTTGTGACTATTAAAGTTTTTCTGAGTTGGGTGAAGAGATCAGATATCCTCCCTAATTCTCTTTTAATGTGCATGGCTATTTCAAAATACAGTATCAAAATGAAAATTTCCATCGACCGTGCTTATTTCATTGTCCACATAATTTTTGTATAGGAAAACAAACGTTCCTTTTATCCTAATTTTTTAATAATTGTATGAAAACGCTTTAATATTCCAAAATTACAGTATTTGTTTATTTAGCTATAGAAAATTGCGTTAACAAAAACTGGCTATTTTCATTTTTAAAGGTGATAGTTTGAAAAATAAAAACATTTTTGGGTTCCCATTGCTCGATCTTGCTTGTTTGCAAAATGAAAAGCTACCATAGTTTATCCAGACCTACACATTAATACAAAATTTTATGGAAATCGCACAAAAATTACTCGAGTTATTGAATTTACCGACACACACACCATACATAAAAAAATATGTACATTTTAATTATTTATTTACAGTAGGTAATTTCTCACTAAACATATATCATGAAACAAAATTTTATTTAATTGTAATTCCAAATAAAATAAATTGTTATGTAGTTTTACTTGCAGTTGAATTCCGCTATTCTTTTCAGTTTTAGTTTGATGGTTGTCAAGGCAACTTATCACAGATTTAGACTCTTGGTTGTTTGGGCTCATTGTGTAAATGGGTGGGAATATGACAATGAATTAAAACAACTTTAAATGTTTTTTAAAAAGTGTAAATTTAAGTTTTGGCTTTGTTGTATAAAATCTTTATTAAGATGTTGACTAGAAGAGAAAATCTGTTGATTAGACCATGGCAGGAGAGGAGGTACATTCACCATAGACACAAAGTAAGTTAATTATCTCTCAACATAAAAGGTGCGACCAATCAATAGAACTATTAAGTCAATACCACATCTTCTTTCTGAAAACAAGAAAAATATCTTTTAACTTAAACTATGGATTGTGATTTCAATTAAATGTAAGTAAGAATAACACTCGTTAATGCACACGTATATTGAGAGTATTTGTTAAATCAATTTCTAATTAGGTATACGAAACAGGATCCCTATATCACGTCAAGTAGGTATACAGACACTCTATACAACTTATAATCATTAAACTGAAACCAAAATCAATCCGAGATTTTGATATACAATCGTAATTCAAATCTAAAACAATAAGAAGAGAAATAAAATTTCTCTCCCAAACAAGAACTTCAATAAAAAAGTTCTGTTTATTGGCGTCACCAAAGAGGGCTGGACAGAGAAGATAAAAAATTGCTGTTTTACTGTGTAATATTAGTTTTTTGTGTGCAACATCTCTTAAATATTAGCACTTGATTTCCAAAAAAACTATTTGAGGGGGTGCCCAAACCCCTTCTTCCCTTCACCTCCTAGTTAGTTGCATGGTCAGACTCTCTGTACAAATCCCTGGAACAAAATTTCCATTTGCCCTCCTGAAAGAATTTCCTGCAGTGCCCTTTGTTCATAT